GTGGTCGTATCAGGCTCACTTTATTATGCAATGCAAATTTCATGCAATTGCATGAAACCCACTTTTATGCAGTATTTTCAAAGCATTTTCATTTTATCATTTCATCCAGCATTTTCAAAGCATTTTCATGCAATTTTCGTGCAGGAAAATTCTTGTGTCTCGTAGAAAAATGGATAAACATGCATGAAATACTAATATAATTTCGATAAATACTAATATCAACTCTTTATCCACTACACTATAACATCATTTTCTGTGATGAAAATGTTGAAATGATTATGAATGAAATGGACTATACCCAGTTCCATGGGCGGGGTATAGATAAACCTACCACGCTTCCCCGACCACTGATTGTTACTATTAAAATTTCCTAAATTAATGTACTAAGCTGGAAAGCTTCGTTACTTGCTACTCTCAGGTTGCGTTTCTCTTTGGATACATATGTTGTAGTATCCTTATGTATGTACGAAAAACGACCTATTTATGTTACCTGTAGTTTTGCCAACGCAATGAGAAATAAGACTGGAAAGATGGTTCATATCAGCTTGTAGATTGCTCTATATCCGTATTTACAAAAATTTATGTGTTTCAGTTTCATCAATTGTAAAAGTAAAAGTATACTACTCCAAATAAGCTTCGAATTTGCAAAAATTTTCAAACGCAGTTTTGCTATGACACAACTGGTTATGTACAATTTACTTGACGAACGTGCATACATACATGAATAAAATATGCGTTATATTTAACGAAAATTCTATAACCTTGGATAAATTTTAACTCTCATAGAGTAAAGTTCACAATAACATTGTATGTATTGTATTAAATTGTTTTAAATGTTATTGTGTTATCTCAAATTTTAATCAACCTTGGAGGAAATTTTAATCCAATTTACCTAGCGCAAATCCACTAAATTGTTAGGTTCTGTTTGATAAATATATAAGTATAGAAATACTAGGGTAATAAAATTCATATATACACTAACAAGGGAACTACGTTCCATGATACACCAAGGATGATAGTTTTGCCAAATTAATAGAATTACCAGCTCAAAAAAATAATTGGGGTGTTCACCATGTGATTACATGTTTGTGTCACAATATAATTTTGTAAAAAATTCGACCCAAATATTACGCTTGGAGATTCGCAAGTTCGCAAACGAGTTTTCATACAAACTTTTTTGAAATTTTTCCTAAGTTTTTTTGCAAAGATTGGTATCGATCCTAACTCGTAATGAACACCCTAACTCTTTATAAAATTAAACTCGTAGTTTTAAACATTTTTCAGGAATAATAAAACATAATAATATCTAGAACATTATAAGTAATTTGAATTATTCTAATAATTGATTTTCAATTTGTCCATACATTAGTCCATAACTTCAAAAAATTCAAATTGTTGCATACGTATTTTTTGCTAATTTAGAACAACAATAAAACTAAAGAAGGTATAAAAATTGAATACAAATGCAGAAAAAAGTTTGTTCTCTTTAGTTATTGTGCGAAACTACACCATTTTCGCTTACTTATTATGAAGTATGTATTTCGTCTCACTCCCAATTTGTACTACATGTTCCATCTGAAAGTTTTTGGTGTCACGCAATTATCTGTCGAATCATTCAGCAGATAATTTGGACTCGAATGAGATGAATTTTGGCAAAATCTAGGCGGAACATCAAAAGCGGTTACCTAGTAGGACTAAATAGGAAGCATAAAAATGTTATCGTTGAAGAAGTATATACTCGAAGCCGGCTCAGGATGTTGTAAATACGTAAATTATTTCGTTTTAGATACGTATTTTTCCTGTTTTAGGCAGTTTTTATTTTTTAATAGTTCGCCCTCCATACACTACATTTTCGTTGAACTTGTAATAAAATCTTTAATCTTATTACTGGACAACGAAGAATTTCTTACCTTTTCTTATAAATAAATATGTACATGTTAATTCTGGCATTTTACGATTGCATATTTTCCACCCAGATAAAAGAAACCAAGTATAAAGGCTTGGCTCTGTGTAGTTTTAGCCCAAGTCATGGCTTATGTAGGTATGTATCCGTCATTGTTGTCTGTCTGTCCATCGATTACGCTCGCAAAACTTATCCAATCGACTTGGAATTTTGCACACATGTAGAACATTCAATTATTAATCAAATTCAAAGATGAGCAAAATGTGTCAAAAACTAAGTTTTCGTGGTCGTACTATACCCACCTCTATTATTGATAACAACCTGATTCGGGCTAAATAAAGTTGTGCTCTTCATAGTTCATGCTTCATGCAATACATTTTCATTGAAATTGTGCCAAAATCTTGCCATTCTATCACTGGACAAAGGAGAATTTCTTACATTGTCTTGACTCTGCACAACAATGCTGATTTATCATTTGAGTGCAAAATGTGTATGTTTATTATGTATGTACGACCATTATCTTGATGCTTATTATATTTATGTGTGCCATGCTTGAATCCACAGATTTATGTAGCCGGCATCATGTTTAGAACGACTTTGCATTACGCTTTATTGTTATAATAATAAAACAATTTTAATTATCCTTCGTTATCTACTACCGTTTCGCCTGAAAGTTTATCTTATGTAAATAATTACATTCTTTCGTTTTAATTGCTTCTCCAGACTTATGAATATCTACAATCGTATATAAGATTTATTAACATCTTACGATGTAATATAAACTCCGGGTTTACAAATAGTTGAAACAGAAATTGTTTAAACTTTAACATACTGAGATCTAATTTCAATAATCTATTTAACAGTTTGAAAACTTCTCCAATTTTGAGATTTTGAAAGTGTTAATTTTCAGAATTGTAAAAAACATGGGAGGTAGCAACTTTATGGAGTGGTGGGTGAGCTATGCTTCTGATGACAAAGAAGCCTGGAAATGTATCGGTTTGGCGAGGGCGTTGAAAAGGACGCTGACCACGAGACCTTTCATGGTCATTATTAGTGACAATGTAGGGCGAGAGATGAGGTGAGACTATATCGATTACCGTTATTTTTTAAAGAATAATTAATGCTACCAAATACGATTTCGCATGTTCACATTGCAGCATACCTTGTTTTGAAATTGTGAATTTTTCTAACCAACGTGGTGAAGAGAGATCACGAATGATAAAGTTTAGAAATTTGAAATACAGGATGGTTCAAATGTCCCGAATTTTGCTATGGAAAAAATACTTACTTTTCATTAGTTGCCAATTTTTTTTAAATTTTAACAAAACCCTTGAACTTATTCCAATTTATCGTTACCAGGGTTTATAATATTCAATTACATATCAGATTACAAATATATTGAGACAACGTCTTCTTGACAGGACTTTACTCTTGTATTATCCGTCAAGGTAGAAACTAAGCTAGCTAGTTATCAAAGTTTTGTGTCTGAAATTTACAAAATACAAAATTTCAAAAATTCAAGAGGCAAAACTTCGATAACAAATAAGTATTTATGTATGGACTTTTCTCATTCCAAAATTTGTGAAAAATATTTTGCAAACCAAATGCTAGTGTAGGTTCGCAAATCCATTTCTATGCCAATTTTTTTTGCTAACGTTGCTGACGATGCAGACTCGAATTAAATACCCCCATTAATCCAATGCTAAATGCAATAGCAAGCTTTAATCTAAAAATGTACCTTTTCCAGTTACTATCTGCAGAGCGAGGTGCATAAAGTTTCCCATGTGAAATCCGATAAGAACTGGCAATTTCGGTCCTTGGCTAAACTCAAGGTCTATGAATTGCTGGCTGGCGGCGGTCAGCAGCACGTATTTCTGGATTGCAATTGCCTACCGGTAAAAAATTGTGACGATTTATTTCGCCTCAATGGTGTACAGTGGTGCGGCTTGAATGAAAATGGGGAAAAATTTGCTGCTATTGTGATGAATACCGCAGTAATGCGAGACTTTGATCTGGACAAATTCGTGGCTGAACAAGAACAATTATTCGGTGAATATAATAACACAAATATTATAATGTTTAGTTCATATTTAAATAGTGTTGGTACAGATATTTGCGTGTGTAAGTTTTTCGAGAATTTACTGAATTAAAAATACTACTACCAGGCGAAATGAATAACTTGATGTCGCCCCTGGAGGAGTTTGACTACTGTTTCGAGCTTGATATGAAAAGGTAATATGCCCTATTTAGTTACTATTAAGTGTGCTAATTGTTTGTTATTATTCTAGCTCAAATCCAACTCAGCTACTAGGAGATGAGATTAAAATGATTTGTTTTTTGAATGGACATCCGAATGAAGAGCTTGAGGACATGATGACAAACCAATGTGTTATAATTCGAGATCTTAAAATGTTTTGGAATTCTCTTACTTCTCCTGAAGAAAGGAAGGTAAGTAAGTAGTACGACACTAGTAATTGAATTGGTGCTTGAACAAAAATGAAACATGCGCATGAAGGAATATAAAAATTAAGCATATGCATGAAGAAATACAAAAATGAAACAAATTGTTTTATTGTTATATTTCTTCATGCACATGTTTCATTTAAATAATTCCATATAAACTGTTTTAAGCAATTTGTATGCAGCTAATTATTTACTTGGCAGGGAGATACATGTCACCTTCCTAGACCGGTAGTAACTCAACGGGATCCCATCTGTCCGATAGCAATTGTTGGAATGGCGTGTCGTTATCCGGGGGCGAATAACATTAAGGAATTCTGGAAATTATTGGAACAGGGCTTGGATGGAATTAGGAAGGCTCCGGAAGGTCGATGGACGGAGGAGAATTCCATTATTCGGGCTGAGAACGTGAGAAATACAGAGGCCGGTTTCCTTTCCTGTCCAATCGACACCTTCGACGCCAAGTTTTTTAACACAAATTCTGCAGAATTGGAGTTTCTAGACCCACAACAAAGGATTTCTCTACAGGTAGTGTGGGAGGCCTTGGAAGACGCTGGCATTGACCCTAATTCCCTAAAAAACTCGTTAAGTGGAGTGTTTGGTGGTTGGTAAGTGAAAGATAAAAAACTTTAGAAATATGATTGTACATCAAAAGTTTCAAAATAGGTGGCGTAACGACTACCAGGATATGATACAGGAAACTGGAATGGATATTGAGTACATTCGTTGTTATATGGGGAATTCACTTGGGCCCCTCACGGCAAGAATTTCTCACTTTTTCGAATTGATTGGACCAAGCATCTCCATGGAAAGTGGCTGCTCTACCTCGATTGCAGGGGTGGACATCGCATGCGACAGTTTACGAAATGAAGCATGTGACGTCGCAATAGCCATCGGAGTTAACCTATTACTCCATCCATTTACACCAGGACTGTTGGAAGGCTTTGTGGCACAAAATGGGAGATGTAAGACGTTTGACGCTGAGGCCGACGGATTTGGGAGGGCTGAAGGAGTGGGTGTCTTAATTTTAAAAAGACTATCCAACGCAGTGTCCGATGGGGACAGGATTTGGGGGGTAATCCGGGGTTCGGCCATCGTGCAAGAGGTAACAAGCAGAAGTATGGGCACACCATCTGTCAATGTGGAGGCTAAAGCCATGCAGGTTGGAATCTGAAAGTATTTATGAATTTATAGATATTAGTCAGGGTACGTATTTTTTGACGATTTCAACGGTGAAAAACGTACATTTGTGCCCACTTAGGACTGAGCAAACTAGGATTACGAAATCCTACTAATTAAGAGGGCCATTCATTGTGGCAGCAAAAGTTTTCAGCCAACAAGAATAATTTGAATGATTCTAATGGAAACAATTGGTATTTCTTAAAACTAGTTAGCTCTCAACCGCGCTGGCATCCTTCCCGACGATGTAGATTACGTGGAGACGCATGGAACCGGCACTCCAATAGGTAGGTATTTATTCAAGATTGTTATGGCGTCGGCCTTTGCAATCACTCATTAATGATAAACCCATAGGAGACCCCATCGAGTGGCTGCTATCGCCAAAATCTACTCTTCAATTCGCCGAGAACCATTAGTAATAGGATCCGTAAAGACTAACATCGGTCATACCGAATCTGTTTGTGGGATTGCTGGGATTCATAAGACTGTTCTTTCAATGCATCACAATCTAATCCCGAAACATTTGAATTTCACTCAACTAAACCCAGAAATCGACTTGGCTGCTATCCCAGCTCAACTCCCGCTCCAAGCTATTCCATGGGAACGAAAAAACAATGGAAAACATCGAATTGCTGGGATAAATTCGTTCGGAATAACAGGAGCCCAAGCTCATTTGATTCTTGAGGAACCTCGGCTACAGTACGCAGGAAAAATTTTTACTAGCAGAGATTCGAGACAACAAAAAATTCTTACATTTTCCGCTAAAACTGAGGCAGCACTAATTGCACAAGTGGCAGCTTACAGGGATTTTCTCGACCCATCAAACAGTATTTCACTAACTAACTGGGAGTATACGATGCATACATCACGCCCACACTTCCAACTACGACAACTTGTCATCGGATCTACAAGAGAGGAACTTTTATCGTCCATTGAATCTATCCAGAAACCACTACTTCGACCCCTGATACCACCAAGGCTTTGCTTCCTGTTTACAGGTCAAGGTTCGCAGTATGCAGGCATGGCAAAATCTCTCTACGATCAAAGTACCGTCTTTAGATCCCATTTTGATTGGTGTGACTCGATTTTGAAATTGGAGTCTGGATTGCAACTTAGGAAAGCTCTATGGGATGAGGAACATAGTAATCTGCTCAGTTCCACCTTGTATAGTCAAACTTCAATATTTTGCATAGAATTTTGCCTTCTCCGATTGTGGGAGTCTTGGGGTATTGTACCAGATGCTGTATTGGGTCATAGTCTGGGCGAGTTTACGGCAGCGGTGGCAGCTGGCATTTTGAGTCCGACGGACGCTCTCAAGTTGGTGGTCACTAGGTCCAAACTCATTGACGCTCTCCCACCGTCGGGTATGCTTGTCGTTGCGTCCAGTGTTGATACTGTTCGAGAAGAAATGAAGCGAGCATTTGCCAACACTAAAAACTGGCTTGATATTGCTGCTGTGAATTCCTTGACCCAAACTGTTGTCTCTGGAGCAAATCACATAATTACTGAATTCAGAACATATTGCGACAACAATGGGATTAAGAGCCACATCCTTGATGCCTCCCATGGTTTTCACTCTAAACTTATGGACCCAATATTTGAAGATTACGATAAACTTTTATCAACAATTAAATTCAGAACGGCCAAGAGGTGTAAATTTATATCAAGCGTTGAGGGGCGTATCATGTCTGAGGTTGACAAAAGCTATTGGTGGCGACATACTCGGGAAAAAGTTTGCTTCTTCAACGCCAGCAACACGGCTGGAATGGAGGGGTTGACTATGTTCCTAGAAATTGGACCGCACCCGGTTCTTTCTGCATTAATTTTGACAAACTTGGATGAGGTAATCATTTTCTCAATTAAACCTAATTGACAACTTTAATAATTCTGGTTGTTTATAGATATTCCACGAAATATCTGCAGTCCCATCTTTACGCCGGAAGACAAATGACTGGGAATCTATGCTATCCTCGTTGGGGAGACTATACACACATGGTGTTCCCATAAATTGGAAAAACATTCATAGATACTCGGATGCAATTAAGATTGAAATTCCTGGCTACCATTTTGAAGATAATAGTCACTGGCTGACATTTAATGAAGATGGTTCTCTCCCATTTCACCCATTGCTTGGTGGATTCGTTCCCAACGCTAGTGCTATTACTATTTTCAAAAACAATATTAATGTCAACCGCATTCCATTTTTGAAGGATCACGGAGTAGCTGATAAAATCCTGTTTCCATGTGCCGGATATCTGGATATGTGTATGACAGCTGGCCACGCAGCAGCTAATTGTAGCGACAATGTATTTGTTAAACCGCTAAGCCCCTTATGTGTCCAGAACTTTGCAATCCACACTCCAGTTTGCTTGAGCGAGAATATTCCTACAGAATTTCAGGTCTGCCTTCTTCACAAGCAATGCGCCTATCACATTGGTTAGAATGTACTATATAGATGGTTTTGAATGTTTAACAGATTACGGTTGACAGCTCTAGTGATGGGAAAATGTTGGTAACAATTTTCACAAAATTGCGACTAGAAGATAAACAACACAAATGGGTTCGAAATGCTTCCGCAGACTTTATAACCATCTCTCCCTCCTCTCCTGACCCAGTCTTATATGACTTTGTAACAATTAAAAATCGATGTACAAATGCAATGTCTTCAAAGAACAAGTACGATTATGATGAACTCCTTGAGTACGGATTTAATTTTGGGCCTTCACTACGCGTTGTTCAGCGTGGTTGGAAAAGTGATTCAAACGACGAGTTTATCTTCAAATTCAGGACATTCGAAAAAACTGAGGATTTGGACAGGTTCACTATCCACCCATGGGCCGTCGACTCCATATTACAAAGGCAACTTGTGGCCTTGGGTCACCTATACCCGGAGCATCTTAAACGGCTAGCCGTCCCTGTACAAATTGAAAACTTTACATGGTGGGGACCAAGAAATGAAGGTTCAGGATATGCATATATCAGATATTCTGCTAATTCGGAACTATTTGAATCTCATCTGTATAACGAGCATGGCGACCTTATGGTTTCCTTGATTGGAACAGAATATGTAGAAACTACGCTCCCAAATATTCTTGCCCTTATTGATTCTCATCGTAAGCCATACCCGATTATGGCTGATCATGGTTGGAAACAATGGCTTGGGCCAGACGAAAGAAGAAGCATCAGTCACGATATCTGCCTGAGAGATTTTACAAACATGTCCCAAATATACGACAATTTTACGGAACCTGAAGCAAAATTTTATTCAGATATTAACAAGCTTGCTGGACTGTACATGCTAAAGGCAATTGTAGAATTAAAATTGGACAACACACTTAGGGAATTGTCAGAAGTATGTGCATATCTAATGATCAATCCATCATTAACTAAATTTGTTCGATACATTTTTACTGAACTGGAAAAGGATGGATGGATGAACTCAATTGGCAACCAATTTCACCGACAAGAATCTTTACCATGTCTTGATACAATTTTGAAGCAAATACAGACCCTTCGAAGCAACATGACTAAAGAAGCGTTACCCTGGGTGGACAACGTTTGGGAAACTTTATCACAAATACTAACTGGGAAGCTTAATGCCTATGAAATGTTATTTCCTGAAAACGAAAAGGCTGGACCAGCCGAATTGTTTTACAAAGAAGCTGTTATGATGAAAAAGAGAGCCGGGATAAATGATACAGAGTGCGAAATTCTAAGTCGATATGCAGATTCTTGGAACCGAGCTGTGGTACGGGTGTTGGAATGTGGTGCGGGGTTTGGGTTTTCTGCACAGTTATTGATCAACAACATGATCAAAATTGGACCATCACATTTTGAATATACTTTCACGGATATACGCCCAGAGTTTTTAGAGAATGGCGAAAAACTTTTTGCAGAGACTCAAATTTCTGCAAAGTTCGGATTATTTAACCTGGAGGAGGATCCACTGTCTAATACCTGAGCATTATGACATAATCGTGGCTTCCTTCGTACTTCATGCGACGCGAGATATTCAGGAATCATTAATAAACATAAGGAAAGTATTGAGACCAGGAGGGACTCTCCTCTTAACAGAGCCAGTAACCCCAAACAGAGAGTTCAATTTAACGTTTGGAGGACTAAATGAATTCTAGAGATTTGAAGATATCAGCATGCGACCTTGGAATTGCGAACTGTCGATCTGCAATTGGATGAACCTATTAAAAAATATCGGTTTTGAGGATATTATTTCATTGAAAAGTTACAATGGTGCCAACACTTCATTAATAGCAAAACTCAATCAAGATTCCAGAATTCAGAGCGGGCCAACAGGTGGTCTCCCACGTTACTGGATTGTGTTTTCTGACAAATCCTCGCTCTCAAATGGAGTGATCGACAAACTAATTGGAATTAACTTTAAAACCCAAAGTATCACGTGGGATAAAAGAGACGAAATTGATAACATATTAGCGTCTGCATCTACCGGAAAGGAGAAATTTAACCTTGAATTAGGATCTCCCGCAACCTATTTTTTAACCCGTCATATTTAACTGCAAGCCATAATTTTTTATTGGGCTAGGGCTAGATTCGCTTATCTACGTATCAATGCACAAGGACTTCAGGGAGGGAGAGAGACTGCCAGAGAGAGAGGACGTCCCATTTTCTCCTCTCTTGGAATATTTTTTTTTTGTGCTAAAGTTTTGAATGTTACGGGCCACCAACACCCCCAGAAATCATCACTACCTCCTCATCGGGCCTTCAGAAAGTGTGATAGCCGAATTTGGGACAATTTCGTTCGCCCGGGTGACCTTATAGACCGTTACGAATTTCGTAGTTTCGGCCTGGACTTGTGAAGGGACTTCCTTCCCTTATTCTCGAGTGGACTCTTTCTTTCTTGTGGCCCTTCACCACTACTACTACTACCTGGTTTCAGCACGGACACCCACTACTCTGTTAGTGTAGGGGGTGGTCCCTGCACTTCCAGGGGGCGGCACGGAGTACTGAGTGACCGTCTCCTGTGGGGTTGGCCACTCCCACGCACTTTATGTGCCTTAATCGGGCAAGAAAATCTCTTAATTTCTTTGGGATTTTAGTCAAAATGCGCATTTTAGTCAAAGTGATTTTGTTCTGATCCATTTATCTTTCTCCGAGTGGGACCAGTTGGGACCATCTTCGCGCTCGGTGCCAACTACAGGCTATCATGTCGATGATGGATCTGATGATGGGCGATACCCCCGATGCGGGCGAAGACCCGCCGTTGGTCCCCCCTGGCCTGGCAGCACCTCGATCCCAATCCTTATTCGGCCGCTTTTTATCAGGTTTCACCTCAAATCGGACACCGCAAGACACGTCGCATCTCCCTGTGTCCGGCAATGCCCCCGCTAATGTCCCCGAAAATCGGACACCGCCGGGCACGTCGCTACTCTCCGTGCCCGTCCCGGTTCCCACTAATGTCCCCGAAAATCGGACACCGCCGGACACGTCGCTACTCTCGGTGCCCGTTCCGTTTCCCACTAATGTCCCCGAAAATCGGAAACCGCCAGACGCATCGCTTCTCTCTGCGTCCGGCCGGGCTCTCGCTAATCCCCCCGAAATACGGATACCGCCAGACGCATCACTTCTCTCTGGAGGGAAACTACCGAATTCACAAAACGGTGGATTCGTGAATCTTTCCTCGCTGTCGACCCTAATTCGCACCCCCAAGTTCTCTTAAAGAAATCCGAAGTCTTTGCCCGCTATGCCGTTTTTGTGGACCGCTGTGGGGTTGGAGGAGTAGCGGATACTACGCTTGGGAAATATATTAAGGAGCTATTTCCCGAATCCGCAGCGCGCCGAATCGGGTCGAAAGGAATATCCCAAAACTGTTTTGTCGGAATCCAATGGGCGGACGCACCTTCACCAGTGGGACCACAACCACAGCAACGAAAGGACTGGGGGGAAATTCTATCGCGTCTTAAGGCGACCACACCCACCCTACGCAGAGTACCCCGCGGTGCAAGGATGGAAGTCTCAAGGTGCCGCACTAAAGTTTTAAAGGCGGTGGTCGAGTCAGATGACGAGGAAGTCTGGGCAACGTTGCTCCTCTTCAGTTACGCAACCCTTCCCGTCCCGCAGAAAACTGATGAGGTGAAGAATTTGACTTCCTGGGTCAAGGCATCCACTGCTGACTGGGATTAGCGTTTCTCCATCCCACCAGCGAGCCCCCCACGTCCACCGTCAAGTAGAAAGGGGCCCCCCGCCGATACAACTGCGAAGAAGGTCGAGGCCAAACTCTCGGACGGCGACATTCGCGGTGCCATTCGCCTCGCATGTTCAGACGACTCCATTGCCCCCAACGATGACGTAACTCTCTGCCCTTCTCATCAAACATCCCGCCCATCCACTGCCAGTAAATTTCCCGCCACCTCCAGAAGATCCCATCATCCCGCCTGTACTTGATCACGAAGTGGTCAAGGCCATATCAACGTTCCCGCCAGGATCGGCGGGAGGACTTAACGGAATGCGGCCTCAAATCCTGAAAGACCTTTTGGGGTGTACCCACGGTGAGGAGGGTGACGGCCTCGTTGAGGCTATTGCATCTTTTGTGAACCACGTCCACAACGGTGGAGTGCCCGATATCTTCTGCCCCCTTTTCTACGGCGCGTCCCTGACAGCGCTGAAAAAGAAGTCTGGCGGGATTAGACGTATCGCCGTGGGCAACACATGGCGTCGTCTCGCGGCCAAAATTGTTGTCGCGCGAATTACCCCTGACCTCACGAATTACTTTTCTCCGCACCAGTTGGGAGTTGGCGTCAAAGGTGGTGCCGAAATTGGTGCCCACACCGCCCGGGTCTATTTCAACCACGACCACCACACCCCCAAGGCGTTCCTTAAGATAGATTTTAGGAACGCCTTCAATGAAATCCGGCGGGATACTCTTCTCAATGTCTTTCGGGAGCGGTTTCCCTCAATCTTTCCATTTGTGTCCCAGTGCTGCGCCAAACCCTCGTCGCTTTTTTACGGGACAATACCAATCCCTTCGCTCCTAGGGTGCCATCAAGGGGACCCTTTGGGTCCCGCCCTATTTTCCCTAGTCATCCACCCCATCGTCGAAGTGCTAGAAACGGAACTAAATATGTGGTATCTCGACGATGGGGCCGTGGCGGACTCTCCAGATAAGGTTTTGGCGGCTCTGGAGACCATTTCCAGAATGGGTGTGGGAGTGAGGCTACACCTCAATCATGATAAGTGCGAGGTTGGCATTTTAGGGGCCGATCGAGACACCGCCATCGACATTCTCCTACAATTCCAGAAAGTAGCCCCTGGGATTCAACTATTGTCTCCCGAAAGTGCTATGCTTCTTGGCGCCCCCCTCACCAACGAAGCGATGGAAGTTGTTTTGGCAGCAAAGACGGCGCAATTGGCTAATTTTTCCCAACGTCTACGGCAACTCTCGACCCATTCTGCGTTCTTCCTACTTAGGGCATCAATTTCCATTCCCCGCCTTATTTACTTTCTCCGCTGCGCCCCAACTTGGAGAAAGTTGGATTCCCTGGCTCACTACGACGCCACCCTGAAGGACGCTCTCGAGGAAATTCTCAACTGCTCCCTCTCGGCGGCTGCTTGGATGCAGTCGTCCCTACCTGTCAAGGAAGGCGGCCTAGGGATTAGGCACGCTGTGGATGTGGCGATTCCGTGTTTTCTTGCGTCCGTCCACAGCGTCCTGCCCCATATGGAACGTCTGCTTCCAGGTGATTTGCATGGCACCGACGCCGCCATGATAGAGGGGGAGGAGCGATGGACCGCCCTCGGACCAGCCGAACTCCCCGCCGAAACAATCAGAGGAGTTCAGGCGGCGTGGGAGCGTCCAATTCTGGATATCACCTTGTCCCAGTTAACACAACGAGCGACCACCCCGGAGGACACCGCCCGCTATCGTGCCCTGCGGGATAAGTTTGCAGGCTCTTGGCTTAATGCCCTTCCATCTCCCCAACTTGGAACCCTTCTATCCAACGAATCGTTTCGTGTCTCAATTTCCCTCCGATTGGGCTGCGACGTCTGCCAACCCCACAAGTGCCCGTGCGGAGCACAAGTAACTGCGCGAGGCTACCATGGCCTCTCCTGTCGGCGCAGTGCGGGACGTTGGTCCCGCCATGAGGCCGCCAACGACGTGATTGCGAGAGCGCTCCGTTCGGCGGAAGTTCCTTGCATCCGGGAGCCGGCGGGATGCTCCACCCAGGACGGGAAGCGTCCCGACGGAATGACGCTTATTCCGTGGTCAAGAGGAAAATCCTTGCTTTGGGATTTTACGTGCGTAGACACTTTTGCCCCCAGTTACCTTCCCAACACGGTGCGCTATCAAGGCGCCGCTGCGAGCATGGCGGAAGATAGAAAGAGGAAGAGGTACGCCTTCCTCTTGGACCGTTTTATTTTTGTCCCCGTCGCAATGGAAACGACGGGGGTGTGGGGCCAGGAGGGGCTCTCCCTCATCAATCAAATCGGTGAACGGATCACCGCAAGAACCGGACAGCCTAATGCTATCACCTTTCTCCGCTAACGAATCTCTCTAGCTGTTCAGCGGGGAAACGTAGCCTCCATTTTAGGGACGCTCCCAGAAGGCAAAGAATTAGAAGAGGTGTATTATTTTTAATTTATTTTTTTAACTTACTTTGACTTTTTTATGATTTCTACGACTTTTATTCAGGTTAGGGACTTTTAATGTACGACTCCTTTGTTAGTCAGCTTTTCTGATGTGAAATTTGTGTAATGCAATGATAATTAGTGAAATAAAAAGTTCCATTGATAAGGACTTCAGCACTATGCATACTTTTTACTCTATGTATGTGTCTTATAAATTCAACGATGAAGCTTAAACGAAATTTTGAGAAATGATATAAAATATTCGTAATGAAAACTGTTTTCGTCTCCAGCCTGAATAACTTTTCCTAATATCAATATATAGTTTTAATATTAAAAAACAAGATTGTGCTTCAAAACTTCAAAAAAAATATCATTTTCACTTCCAAATTCTTAACCAATCACAGGTAAAATGCCCTCGTATCCACCTTCCACCAAACCCGTGAGGAACCCTGCCATCACTGTGGGCATCGGGGGGATGTAGTCCGTGGGGGTGAATCCCGCTATACTTATGAGATCAATATCCAGCCATCCTTCCACAAAGTAGCAGACGGAATAGTCCGCGTCAAAGTACTGCAAATGGTCAATAATCGTGTACAATGGTCCGAGGGAGTTGGAACAGGTGGAATCTTCGTAAACGGCTTGAGAACAAAAATTAATTTCTTTCCTATTTATCCAAACTTCTTGCCCGTGATGGAAATAAGTGGTGTGGATGAGCAAATCGATTAAGCCGAGGTGGCCAACTGGTGGGAAATGGGGGATTATGTCGGCTCTGAAAAAAGTTAATGTGTAGATTAGCGAATTTGTTGACCAGTGATACAATTCTCGCAGTCTGTGGTAACCTTGTTAAATTCCTAAATTTTAAAAAAGTAGATGAAGATTTTATCCTTGTCAAAATACTGAAATGTTTGTAAATTACACCCTTCATCTGAGTAAGTTTAGAAAAATTTCTAAGCTAATTTTTCTCAGAAATAATACATAGGTATATGAAAATGTTTGTAAAATTCTTTTACGGATTTCACAAAGTTTCCAAGCACTCCGTGAATTTCCTGTATTTTATGTCTTCGAGCTTTCTAAATTTGTTGCACTGCACTGTAAACTATAAGAAATTGCAATTTGATAAATTTTTCCAAATCCGAAAAAATTCTAGTAATTTTCCATTTGTTGCATAAATATGGTTTTTTCAATGCTGTCACCCAGGTAAACGTTCCTGATTTATAAATACCTCCAAACACATCCATAAAAAGATATCATTTGCAATTTTAAGAGCTACATATCTTAAAAACTTAACGGTTAACACGTTACTTACCTGGCAACCACTCTGTTCATCATGATGGGAAGGGCATTCATATAATCTGCATAGTGCACGTTTCCAACCCTCGGCTGGCCAAAGGTGACCAGGGCATAATTCGCGGTAGGAAATTGATTTATACTTGTCACAAAATAGATGAACAGGGACGACATTGATGCTCCTAAACTATGACCGTTAACGACGACACGAGTCCCCGGATAATGCCTTAGATAGATACCAACTTGTTTGACTACCTGTCAAATTGAAAAAAAAAACAATTCGTTTTTTAAAAATGGTTTAAATTACAATAAAAATAGGTATACAATACGTCAATTTTGTAAGCGTGGAACAGAAATTATAAGCAAATTTATACATAGGGATGCATAAATTCAGTACCAAATTTCACCAGAATACTGGAAATTTTGAGTCCTAAAAAGAACTAGAATAAAAGATGAACCGAAAAGCCTTTGTTTTTAAGCTTTTGTAAATTTATGTAAAACTATAGATACAAATTGATTCAATTACCGTTAATGGAGTTAAAAGCAAAAATCCAGTAAACATACATATACATAATTTAAGCAATGTGTCACGAGAAATGGAAATTTGGGAAATGCCCATGCTATTTAAAAAACATAAACGATTCGTTGAAAACGAATCACAAATCCAAAAGTTTAAGTTTATATAAAAACAGGATTTTCTTAATTAAAAAAATTCAAAGTAGGAATTCAAGACCAGAAATTATATTCAAATCTGGATTCTTTTTACAACAAACTATCAAAAATGCTACCTCATTATAAAGGGTGTTAATAAAGTCCGATCCCATTTTTCCTATAAAAAAGTGAAGGCTAGTATAAAAAAAACTACCCGTGATACTTACAAAAAATGTTCGACATATTTACCTTAGTATTTGGTCTTGTTACCATTTACTTTAACCATGCCCTCAACTCTTTGTTTAAGGCTCTGTGCTAATTTTTCCAATGTGTCTGTGGGAATCGAATTCCATACATCTTGAACTTTTTTTACTAGCTCTTCCCTCGTCCGGGGTTGTGGTTCTTTGTATACATTTTCCTTAAGTATGGACCACAGGTTCTCCAGGGGATTCAAATCTGGGCTGTTTCCGGGCCACACCCCCTTGCTCCAGACCGTTGAAACTTGCGTCTTGATGAGACTCAAACTCGCTTTTGCTGTATGGGCTGTAGCACCATCCTGCATGAAAACTATTTTTCTTTCATTCGGAAATATTTCCTTGTTCCCCATGCTATCGAAATAGATAGGTAATATTTTTTCCATATAATACTTTGCATTGACTGTTTGGCCTTTTGGTATGATATGTAGAGGAGTCACGCCACGTGCACAAAATCCACCCGCTACCATAACTTTAAGCCCGAATTTTGGGACTACTCTTGATGGTACATCCGATTTGTTTTCTGTCCTGTAACGAACATTTTGTTGGTTCAATTTTGGATATAGCTCAATAATAGATTCGTCAGTCCAAAGGATGTGACTGCGCAATTCTTCACCAAGTCTTTTTTCACTCAAATGGCCACTTTTCTGAAGGAGTTCTCCAAATTTCAGACGGTCATCGATATTTTTTTGTGACATGAGAGGTTTTTTGGTTAGTTTGTAAGCTGTGTGACCCCACCTCGTAGATTTCACAAATTTTTGCACGGTCACATAGTTAATTTGGTTCTTCTTCTCTTTATAGCGTTTTGAGTCATTTAACTCCCTTGCACAATTACGTAATGAACTACCGGTTTTCTTGTAAAGTCTGTTTTTAATCATTCTCTTTGTGGTAGGTGACACCTTTCTGGGTCGCCCGGGTCGCTTTTTGTCGTGGACAAAATTTTTGTTCTTCCATTTCCAAACAGTTCTGTGGCTGCAGCCCAATTTTTGCACAATTTCTGCAGGTTTAAACCCCTGCTGATGCAATGTTTGTATCTTAACTCTAAGATGCTCATGACTTACACGTTTAGTTGTTCCTCCCATGGTAAAAATTTGAAATAAATAACTTCACTGGTTCAAAAGTTCCAGCTGAATTTGTAACAACCGCGCTCCAAAAAATTCATGGGATCGGACTTTATTAACACCCTTTATATCGACATCAAGCTCAAATAGTACCCTCTATGGATCCTAATTCCAGGTCCTCCCGATTCCGCAGATGTCGGAATGAGGGTAAAATCCAGGATCCAATTCATAATGCCGACACTCCCCCGAAAAGTCACCACTATTTCGCCTTTCACGGCATGCAGCGTGACCAACGCTTTAGTCCCGTAAAATTCGTTCTCGATTATTTTGAAATCTGTGACACTCGAATTAAAATAGCCGCAATGACAGCACGACAACGTTTTCAACGAGGTTGGACAGTACATGGCGGCAGAGAAATAGTTGTAATATATGATTTGTTCGGTCGTCATGGGAACCGTTCTGACCGTTTTGGTCGGCGCAGCGGAGATAGAGGCGGCATCGTCGGATTGGGCGACAGAGTTAGGACGTTGAAGGGCAAACTGGGTGAAAATTAGGGTGTCATCGGATGGTGTGAAGACATCGAGGTGACCACAGGTTTGGGCAGAAGTAAAGCTGACGAATAGGGAGAAGACTACAGTTTTCGAAAATATTTCCGAAAACATGATGTGCTCAAAATGAAGGATTTTATTTTTAATGCGCACTGAATTCTACTACTAATACATAGTTTGAAGCTGGTGTTCTGACTAAAGGTAAATTTGCTTCAGACAACTAGTGACATTTCTCAAATTAAGTATATGGTGACAAAAAGATGGAAAATTTTGGGTCAACGGATTATGAAGGTTAACTAGAGAAGGATTGCACATAAATATACCGTGGGTATGTAAATGCGTGCGGTTAATGGTGACATTCTTTAATCCTAGGGTGCGACGTTTAGATATGTATTTGAGACATATAAAACCTTTGGGCATGGAAAATTTATAGAATTTCTTAACCATATGCACATGCATACAAATAATGTAAATATAGTGACATGGCGATTCGGCTTGGCTTTGACCACTTTTTTTGTAGGAATTACCCATACTTTTTTTGTGTAAGGATTATGTATTTACATATGTACGCAACTAAAATACTGCAACCAAAGATAGATATGTATGTACATACATACGTACGTATTTAACTACTCTTCAGCCGATAATAGTAGTGTGAAAAAAAATCTGAAAGGTTTCCTAGTATATAAATATTTTTTAAAAGAACAGAAGACTATGCTTTAGAATAAATAAAATAATTTCACTTCCAAATTCTTAACCAATCACAGGTAAAATGCCCTCGTATCCACCTTCCACCAAACCCGTGAGGATCCCTGCCATCACGGTGGGCATCGGGGGAATGTAGTCCGTGGGGATGAATCCCGCTATGCTTATGAGATCTATATCCAGCCATCCTTCCACAAAGTAGCAGACGGAATAGTCCGCGTCAAAGTACTGCAAATGGTCAATAATCGTGTACAATGGTCCGAGGGAGTTGGAACAGGTGGGATCCTCGTAAACGGCTTGGGAACAAAAATTAATTTCGCTCCCATTTATCCAAACTTCTTGCCCGTGGTGCAAATAATTGGTGTGGATGAGCAGATCGATGACACCGAAGGCGCTAACTGGTGGAAGATGTGGGATTATGTCGTCCCTGAAAAAAACAGTATGTACATAATATAGCAAATTAGCGAATAATAGTTTAATTTCCTGCACATTTTACACATTCCTTGCACTGCACTGGAAGAAATTGTGAGAAATATCTTGCGGCTCATCCTTTGTGGTACACCAAATTATAGGAATTTCTGCTGGTGGAGTTTATATCTAACATTTATTGCACCCATGCAAGAAATTAAGCAATTCCTTGCAATAATTTCTTGCACGTGATTTTTTTCACGTCGAACACTGTTGTTAATCAGTGAGGTACAGTAAACCTACATACTTGATTTACAAATCCTCCAAAAAATCTAATTTTCGACTTTAAAAGCTACATAAATATATTTTTACAAAATTGCATTTCTAACTCGTTATTACCTGGCAACCACTCTGCTCATCATGATGGGAAGGGCATTCGTATAATCTGTAAAGTGCACGTTTCCCACCCTCAGTTGGCCAAAGGTTACCAGAGCATAATTCGCGGTAGGAAATTGATTTAAACTTGTAACAAGGTAGATGAACAGGGACGACATGGCTCCTCCCAAACTATGACCGTTAACCACGACACGAGCGCCCGGATAACACGCGAGGTAGACACCAACTTGTGTGACAACCTGTAAAATTTGAAAAAATGGTCCATTGTTTTAAAAATGTTTAAATTGCTATAAAATTAAGTATTGATGCGATTGGGTTTAATTTTTTAAACTCGGAACTGAAATTAGACGCAAATTTATATAAATTTAGCATCAAATTTCATCAAATTGAGAATGTTGGAACCTTTCAGACATAAAAAGAACAAATGAGATGAAGAAGCATTTGTTTTGAGTTTTTTTTAACTTCTGCAAAAATATGGAACCAACTTGTTTCAATTTCATAAAATGGAATAAGTAAAAGCAAAAATATAACATTTAAGAAAGGCGTCTCGAGAAATGGAAATTTGGAAATTGTCCAAGCTATTTACATCACATAAACGAATCACAAATGTAAAAGTCTCAGTTTGCGTAAAGACATGATTTTTATAATTTTTTTAAAATACAAAACAAGAATTAAGCACACGAATTTGTTTCAATTTTTTTCCACTAGGAACTAGACCAAAATTCTACCTTATTATAAATTGTCATTAAGCTCAAAAAGACTCCTCTATGGATTCTTATTCCCGGTCCTCCCGATTCCGCAGATGTCGGAATGAGGGTAAAATCCAGGATCCAATTCATAATGCCAACACTCCCCCGAAAAGTCACCACTATTTCGCCTCTCACCGCATGCAGCGTGACCAACGCTTTAGTTCCGTACAATTCGTTCTCAATTATTTCGAAATCAGTGACGGTCGAATTAAAATGACCGCAGTAACAGCACGACAACGTTTTCAACGAGGTTGGACAGTACACGGCGGCAGAGAAATAGTTGTAGTACTTGATTTGCTCGGTCGTCATGGAAACCGTTCTGACCGTTTCCGTCGGCGCGGCGGAGATGGAGGCGGGACCGTCGAATAGAGCGAGGGGGTGGGCAAGTTGGAGAGGAAACTGGGCGAAAATTAGGGTGTCATCGGAGGGCGTGAAGACATCGAGGTGACCACAGGTTTGTGCAGAGGTAAGGCTGACGAATAGGGACAAGGTTACAGTTTTCGAAAATATTTTCGAAAACATTATGTGCTCAAAATTTTGAAGAAGTTTCTAGAAGTTTCAAGCTTCTACTAAGCTTGTTTTCTGACTGAACGTAAATTTGTTTCACACAACGAGTGACATTTCTCAAATTAAATGGTGAAGAAAAGATAGAAAATTTTGGGGTAACGGATTATAAAGGCTAGCTAGTGACGGATTTCATAGGTATTTTACTTCATGCAAATGAGTATTGTTAATGGTGACATGCTTTTAATCCTAGGGTGTAAATTTGTATCTTTTTTAGTTGTGGGATACTAAACACAAAAATTTTGAGCGTGGAAAACTTATAGAACTTCGTAAGCGCATGTGAACATATGTGGGTATGTATGTCTGGCATGGGGAAACGGCACTTTTTGCTTCTAGGAATTGTAGAAAGTTTTATGTTAAGATGCCTTCTTTACATTCGTAACTAAAGTACTGCAACAAAGGCTATGTATGTATGTGCATATACATACGAAGGCATTTAATTAACATATATATATTACATACATATGTACATACGCCAGGGTACTTCTGTATATGTACATAAAGTGTTATGTTTGTATTGTTGCAAAAATTCAAGGATGAAATTCTTAACCAGGAAATAGATATTTCATAATTTCTGATTTGTATAATTCGTGATAACATGATCATATAAAATATTACACGGAATTGTCAAACCCTCCTGAAGTTGTTAAATTTTAAATTTGAATAAAATGTGTATATACTAGTATCTCTGGTTTTACATCCACACACACTTGTTTCTGTCCATGATCCAGACTTTATTAATTATGTATGTACAAACTCGTGGAAAATACTGTTCTGATGGGCTATTTGACCCTCAGACAACTGACAATGGCCGTCTCCCAGCGTATGCTCTCCGATTTTGACCAAGTTAATATCAATCGATTAAAAATTCCATCCCAATGGTCAGGCTTCACAGAGATATGGATGTGCATCCAAAAATGAGAAAACGCGCAGTAAATTTGGAAACTGTAAAACTTGTCGACTTTGGGGTGTTTTTTTTCTGCCTTAGATACAAATATCTCCGCTAAACGTGACCATTGGAGGATAGTTTCTTCCAAATTTCACATTAATTAAACTTATGATCGATTGGCACTAGTGGTATCAAAATCTGAGCACGTATGTACATACACTGGGAGACCTCCATCGTGAGTGAATAATAAGGCATGTGCAAACCACAAAGTAATCTCAAATTATTGATTGATCGACATTATCAAAGGAATTATCGCAAGAACCAATTCCACATTATTAAGCAATTCAATTAATTAAATGTGCAGATAAGGCTAAATTGACACGCTCCCTCAGCCCATCCCAGACTTAAGTGGGACATCATACCACTCCAGAGAAAGGTGGAGTTGGTCAATTTTGTTGCTGAAAATTACTCGATTTGTACAGAATTTGTGCTAGTTTAATTTCAGACAATGAAGATTTTTTCATTAATTTGTTGCATTTCGGTGCAAATTCTTCTAGTCTCAGCGTCGAACATTAAACGATCAAATCTAACATATTTTGACAAAGAAGAAAGCGCAAGCGAACTTGTAAAGTTTCTCGAACCATACAAGTACGTAAATATGTAGATATGTGTACACTCTTAGAAATCCAGTATTAAAATAATACCACACAAATTTCATATAAATACGACTATACCAAGCTGGTATTGACATGTAATGCCGTGTAGTAATAGCTCAGCATTAAAGTTTTGCTACCATATCTGTAGCAAATTTTTACGGACCGGAAAAATTTTAATACCAAGTAGTAGCAACTTTAATACCGAGAAATTAATACCTGCGTGACTAAACCAGATTTCTAAGAGTGTATAATTTAAAATAAATATTATATATTGCATATGTGTACAGATCCTTAATATGTAAAATAAACTTGCTGTAGGACCGATATCCAAAAATGGTTTTGGGAAATCTCTGGCAACTCCTACAACTCACCACATTTTAAAAATGGCTCCAGAAAAATTGGAATCATGGCTGAGTACATAACTTGCGAGATATGCGTTCCTGCCCTACCCCTGGTAAAACTGTTCATCCAGCTTGGCTTCTCATCCGAGGATATCGTCGGTGTCATTACTACTGCATGTCAAATCCTCAATTTGGCACCAAAACCTGAAATCTGCGAGCCAACAATTCGCGCATATGCGGTATGTATGGAAATACGAGTTTCTAATTTCTGATGTGATTCCTGCGCTCTTAAAAATCTGGTAGTCAAATGTATTATCGGTACTGGTATTGATTTGGTAATGACTTTCTACCTGGCAGTAGTTTGTTTTTGAGTAGTAAATTTTTCATTACCACAACCCTGTTAAATCGTACTGCTCGGTATTACCGTGCCAGTAGTCATAGTGGTGGCGGAAGTTGGGGGACATACTCCTGAAGTAGGAAGAGGAGGGGCAAGATATGATTTTTCTGAATTTCTGGGGGACCAATATCCCCCTACCCCCTTTTCCCTCCGCCACTGTACTCTGGTCAGTAACGATTTAATACCAGTTTTCTTAGAGTGCATACGTAATAAAGTTAATTATCCTATCGATAGACCCCAATCCTGTACATGGTCGTAAATAAACCGGAAATCCCGGACGACGACTTTTGTGGCATAATAAATCCGGGCTGTCGACCAATTAGTGCCCCGGTAAGGGACTGGAGTATTACCCTATCTCCGCCGAAAGGGCCAAAGACCAGAAAGACTTTGCCAAAGGATGGTCTTCCCGCGCAAACAGAGCTAACCAAGATCCTCCAATTTACCGACGTTCACCTGGACCTCGACTACGTTCCTGGAACGGACTCTGGGTGTGGGCTACCTGCATGTTGTCGTGACGGGATACCGACCAATCCTGATAATTCGGCAGGAAAATGGGGACATTTCTCGTGTGAAATGCCAGAATCTGGATTGAAAGCACTGTACAAACACGGCGCAAATACACACTCGGTAAAATCTTTGCCAAAAAATTATCATTTATGCAATTTTTTGCCACTGCATGTCCTAACGATACCTGTTCAGAAACATTTCTTCATTCATAATTCTTTAATTGGAAAAAATTATTCACTATTCAAAATTTGAATGCAAAATCATTTTTCCATTATTACTTTTTTCATTTTATCTCCAATTCGTTTTATTAGAAGGATTTCACAATATACCTCATGTATTAAGCATTGGGTGAGAAATGAATAATGATTGAAAGTATTCATTTTATTCTTCATGAAGATGAAATGAATAATATGCATGTATTAAATATTCATTTCTTCAAAAATCTTGACAAAAATATTCACTCCATTCGTCATGAATTTGTTGAATAATAAATGAATAATTTATTCATCAAAAATTAATGAGTTTATGCTTATTATTGTATAGGACGCCAAATTCATCTTCCTCACAGGAGACTATATCCATTCTAACATTTGGTTATACGGCGTGGACGAAAACACCCGACACCACGTCGCCGTGACGACTTGGCTTCAGTCCACGTTTGCTTCCACCGCCCCAGAAATCTACCCGCTCGTCGGAAACCATGAACCCGATGTGGTCAACATGTATCCCCCCGAGGAGACATGGGGGGACTTCCCACTCCGCTGGATGTACCACTCCGTTGGGGATGCATTCGGTGACTTTTTACCAGCAGATCAGATGGAACTCTTTCTAAAATATGGGTACTGCTAAGAATGGAGCTTGTCCGTGTCATGTCATATTTGTCGTTTATGCCATTTATGCCATATTTGCCATATATGCCATTTATGTCATTTTTGTCAGTTATGTAATTTTTCATTTATATCATTTGCGTCATATTTGTCATATAGGCCATCCAATTTGTCAGACATTTAAAATTTTTGACAAATATGACGGACAAATTGGACATTTATGACAATTTGAGTTTTTCATATTTGTCACAAATTTTAAATGTCTGACAAGTTGGACATTTCTGACTTGTCAATTTGTCAATGACACGTCATGTCTGCACATCCGCTTAGGTACTACACCGTCATATCGAAAGCTGATCCAAACCTTCGAATCATCGCGCTTAACACGAACTTATGCTACGTTAACAACTTTTGGCTCCCTTATGAACCGATCGACACGTCCGGACAACTTCAATGGTTCGCTGATCGTCTCCAAGAGGCGGAGGACGCGGGACAAGCGGTCTTTTTGCTGGGGCACATCTTCCCAGGTTCGTCGCATTCGACTACTATTTTAGGCCCCTGTTCTAATAATTCACTATTTCCACTGATATCGCCCGGATTTTTGATATTTTTTTTACATTATTGTATTTTTTAGGGTCGGGGTCATGCTGGCCGATTTGGTCCCGCCAGTTTGAGCGGATCATTCAGCGGTATTCTTACACGATCCGGGCGCAGTGGTACGGCCACTCGCACGAGCAGGACTACCACATCACATTTAGTGAGGATGATGCCCCGGTCAGCTTGAGCTTTACCGGGGGCAGCGGAGTGACCGATGGTATGAATCCGGGCTACAACGTGTTCTACGCGGATGGCCAGCGTGGCGCGGATTCAACCTGGGAAATCGTCAATCATCAGTCCATCGTGCTCAATTTGACGGTTTCGAACGCATTACCGGACGAGGCTGCGCCAATTTTTAGCACTATTTTAGACGCACAGGAAGCGTGGGGGGTTACAAGTCTGACGGCGGAAACGGTGCACGACTTGATTTACAGGATGGTCTGCGATGACGCGTTGTTCTTGGAGTATCAAAAGTTAGTTTGGCTTATAAATATGTCTATACACTGTTAGAAATCTGGTATGTACACTCAGGAATTGATTTATCGCGGTATTAAAGATGGAACGGCTTGGTATTAAATTTATACCGGTCCGTAAAAATTTGCTGCTGATATGATAAAACTTTAATACTGAGCTGTTACTACAAGTCAGTAGTACGTATCAATACCGCTTTGGTAGAATTATGTGTAATACTGGATTTCTAAGAGTGTATATTTTTGTAAATTGTATTTACTAATTTTGTTTTATTGTAATTGACCAAATTGATAAATATGTAGGGTGGTAACTAAGGGGGCTGACTCGCCAAGATTTAACCCTTGCCTTAGAAACGACTACAGATGCAAGGCGAACGTGCTGGGGGGTTTATTTGTGTCAAATTCTGGCGACCACTCCCACCGGGATAGGTTAACAAACTATATTTTGACGGTGGATTGCAAGGAGCAGAATCCACCAACTACGACACCAGGGTCGACAGAAGGGACCACTGTGGGAACGACTGAAGGGACCACAGGGGGAACGACTGAAGGGACCACAGGGGGAACGACTGAAGGGACCACTGGGGGAACGACTGGGGGAACGACTGCAGGGACCACTGCGGGAACTACTGGGGGATCCACTGAGGGAAGTACGACTGGGGGAACCACAGAGGAAACTGAGGGAACCACTGCAGGAAGTGGTGGAAAGTCTGTGTACTTTCCCCTCTTCCTAGCCGTGCTTATCAAGTTTGCCCTTGCGTTATTAAATCAAAAAACTTAACTAAATTTAAATACATATGTACTTGATGAAAAACCAATTCCTGGTAATAAATAATTCTCCGACTCGATCAACGACGGAAGTTACGCTCAATTTCTGTATCAATGGATTACTCGTGCATTAAACTTTCACCGATCGCATTACATATGTACATAATTAAGCCTTCTTTAAAGTGATGACTTGATTTTGTTTATTAAATTACCATTTACTTATATTGACTATTTAGATAAAGTTAAAGGTCAAGAGAATTGGCAAAATTAACAAAATCGAATTATTGCTAGGGATCAAGATACATAATGCAAAAACTTTTCACAGTCGGAAGCTGAAGACAATAATGTGAATAGTATTTCTTGTCTCGAGCTTCACGTATGTCTGTAATCTTACTCAGGAGTAGAAGGTCACTACTTGTCGGGCCCCGATTTCGATCTCCTTTGGATATGTTGTAGTACTATATGAGTGTAAAAAAAGTGAAGGAGGGTTAGACTCCATGAGCCCATTTACGCCCGCCACACCCCCTCAAAGGCGCCCAAACCCCCAGAGTTGCCGCACTAAAATCATCGCCAAAAATCGAGTTTTGGTCAGATTTGGATGAAATTTACATTTTTGTGATCCCAGATAGTTGCTCCATCATATCCAATAGCAAACTCAACTTTTTTGAAATTTCGAATTTTTTCAACACATACCCTTGGTCAGAAAATCTTCGAAAATATTGAAAATTTCAAAAAAATTGAGTTTGCTATTGGGTATGATAGAGCAACTATCTGGGATCACAAAAATGTAAATTTTTTGAAAATCTGACCAAAACTCGATTTTTGGCGATGATTTTAGTGCGGCAACTCTAGGGGTTTGGGGGCCTTTGAGGGGGTGTGGCGGGCGTAACTGGGCTCATGGAGTCTAACCCTCCTTCACTTTTTCTACACTCATGTAGTACTACAACATATTTGCTTTTTTAATCCATATATATATACATAAAAGTCATTGTTTCTGTCCAGTAAAATTGGTCTGGTCGAAATAGGAGTTAAATTTTTTTAACAATAAATCCTGGTTCGGGCTACGCGAAGCTGTACTTTCTGGGATATTTTTTATGTGATTTTTGGTTGGCAACCATGTGACCTTTTCGGGTAATAAATTTGACAAAAACCCCCTCGGGATTTTGGCTCTAGCTCCAAAAGTTGATCGAGCTACAGGCCAGATTTTTTTTAACATGAAGATTAAGAGTTGATTGTTTATTGACAAAAAAATTGGATTGTAGCTCGATCAACTTTTCATGAAATAAATTATTAAAGTTATGCATCTTTGGGGCCTTGGAGAGAGGGATGTTCTAAGCTATTCTTTAATTATGGACAAATACTAAATGGATTAGTTAGATAAAATTTTTAAAAACTAATGGAAGAAAGTGTTTTCATAATAAAATTAATATAGAAAACAAGGATTTTCTTCTATATAATTTCATTTTATTTATCAATACTAACATGAGAACGAGAAACAATTCGTACGTGCTTATCTTTTCATTTCATGTCATAAACTTGTTTAAACAATTATTTAGTTCAACAAATCTGCATGATTGCGTCAGATGTACATATGTATGCATAAATATTCTTACATATTATTATAAATAATAAAAATACTTCTGCAATACATAAGTATATAACATCCTGCAGTAAACGATGTCTAACTTTAGGCACATATTTATTAGCATACGTATTTCTGCACTCTAATTAAAGTTGAGTAAAATTTTCGATGGCACAAACTCGTTGTGAAAAATTGACCCAATGAAGGTAAAACGCACTCAAGGTTGAGAAAAAATCCTGGATAAATTTTAACCTTCATTCCGCAAATTTTACGCAACGAGTTTGTGCCATCGAAAATTTTACTCAACCTGGAGTAAATTTTAATCAAATTTATTTAAAGTGTGAGAACTTGTGTATGTATCTCGACAAATTAGCCCCGTGATAAATACTTGAAACAATGATTTTATAATTAGAGTCGTAAGAAACAAGTCGGCAGCTAAATCACAAATTTGAAGCATAACAAGTACGCTCTTATATACATAAAAACCCGGTGTTAATAGTCACCGAGGTAGTTGGCTTCACCACGAGGTAATAATGTTTCTCATCTAATGGTGATAAACCTAACTCCAGCCAGTGACAACTTGTCACTATGCGGGCAAGATTTATCAATATGTGGTGAAAAACATTATCACTAGATATTTGATGAAGTCACATTCATCTTTATGTATGCACACCACGCGGTGACGATTAATATTAGGTTTTTAAGAATGCACATACATATCTGTATGTCTGTACATAATAAATCTCGCTTTTTCCATAAAGTATTTACATAAGTGGTAGTACGTTACACCGACGGATGTATGATGACTCGCCCAATAACTATGCACTCGTTTCCTTTTGAGACCCGATAACACACGATAAAATAGATAAACAGGATTATCTATATTATTTGCAGAATGGAAGTGCTTTTGTACGCGCATTTTCATTTGAGTATTTCAGCGATTTTAGAACAAGACTTATGGAATTATTGAGTATGCAATATTTCTGTAACAATGAATAAAATTATGCTTCATTGATGGATATGTACATTTGACACATTCACTATTATCTAACTTTGCACTCTTAGAAATCCAGTATTAAAATAGTACCAATCAGTATTTATACATGACTCCACCAAAGTGGCATTGACACCGATACGTAACATCATGTAGTAAGTAATAGCTCAGTATTAAAGTTTCACCACATCGTTAACAAATATTTACAGATCGATATAATTTCAATCCCAAACGGTTGCAACTTTAATACACAGAAACCAATACCTACCGGACTGCACCAGATTTCTTAGGGTGCCCTTGTTCATTTACAACAAAGCATTATTTAATTTAATCGAAATTTATGTAAATATTAATCCAGATATTAATCAAGCTCTTTCGCACTATTTTTGTTTAAGAAAAATTCTCTTAAATACGATTATGATTTCACAATTACATCCGATAGCAACCAATTAAAATTTTCATGATTCCCTATAAAAGACGACTATTTATTTCAATCAGTTTCAAGTTTTGAGTTTTTTGACGAAAAAACAAAAAATCAACTTTTTAACATTGGTTGGTATAGGGAAAATTCCAGAATTTTTCATGTAAAATATCAACTTTTTACCACAGGGTTTTCTGCAAAATACCAAAGAAATTCTCCAAGTTTTAAGAAACTTCAAAAAATCTGGATTTTTTATGCGTGATATGACGTACTTGGTCCTCAAGGGACAGTCGTCATGGTACGTCATACGACGAGTTTGGTATGCAATGGATTGTTTTTTGATACATTATAAGACGTATCTAGTTTCTTAGGGACATGTTTTGAAATATGAGCATATTTAATTGAAAAGCGGTTAATGACAGTTAATAATGCACAAATTTATGGAAACTAAATATGTTTAAAATAAAGGTTTTATACGCATTGCAAAAAATTATATTTTGCGAATCCCTTAACATAAATTTATTGAGATTATTTTAAAATTTTCCAAATGAGTCGTGAATAAGCAATGTTTTCGTAAATGTGTGCATACACCCATTTTCATGAACCTGGATGATTCATGGTCCCAACTTTATGAAGTCAGTTAACATGAGGAAGATACGTACAGAGATGAAAACTTTTGCATACGCTTATCCTTTACGTACTTAATAAGTTCCAACATAGTTATACATATGCGCAATTTTATTTAAGCATGATGCAAAAATGTGCAAATATTCAGATGCTCATTGCCATCTGATCAACTGTCATTGTGTTCTCCTGGTAAAAAGGCAAAATTTACATATATTAAAAAAGTTCCCAGAAACAATGGACGACACTGCGCCTTCGTCCTTAAGTCCGGCACCATCAAAAAATGAGATCAGAGGGAAAAAACGACCCTTAGAAATCACCATTACGCAACAATTTATGGAAGAAAACTATCCCGACGAGATTGGAGAATCTAGACAATATTTCCTACATACGGAAGACGACTCCTCAATTGATAAAAAGTCGGGAAACGAGCACATAATCTATTTTCAACCATTCTTAAACTATGATTTGGTAATTACAAATGTAAGTACATAAATTATAATTTTATCTAATTTTCAAATAAATTAAGAGCGTGCTCAGGACAATTTGTTTCGCATTGCAACCAATTTTAGTAAATTTGCAAAACTTAAAAAACTGCAGATTTATCAAATATTTATTTAAGATGTGTAATTTCGCATAGCTATTATACATATGTATAAAAACTGACCCAATGTCCTATTTTGACTAAAATAGTTTCCATGGATTTGTGTAATTTTGAGTGTGAGATGATGGAGAAGATGAATCTGCGAAATACTTTTAAAATATTTTTTTCGTAAGCACAACGTACGAATTTATTCCAATTAATCAAATTGAATCACCAATTGTATGCATATCATTTTTTTAAATATTGACGCGACGTTTTCTCATCAAGGCTTTGCTAATTGTGGCCGATATTAGCGTTAATATTTTGATAGCTGTAATATCTGAATTCTGATGTAATTTTTACAGATTCCAAAATCAGCCGGAAAGTTTTTCCAAATCGTCATAAAACCTGTGGAATGGGCACACGCGTTCAATCAGCTTTCTCTCGACATGACGGCTCAAGCCCTCTATTCTGCCATCATGACTTCGGAGTGTTTGCTACAAATAAATCTTGATCTAATTGGAACAACCAATATTTCAGAAATTATTCAAAGTAAGTTTTTTGAAATTTAACTAACAATGGAGGCGCAAACCATGTTCAGCCCAGAAACGTATGATTTTTGATGCAAGGTCAAGCGCGAGCTCACTCTCGACCACTTTTTGCGAACTTGTGGCGCCCATAACTTGCTGAATTTTGCGCATCTGCGCAAGTGGTGAACCAAATGTTGTTTCTAGAGACTTGGTCTTCCAAACTAACATAGTCAAAAAATAATCTGGGCTGAACATGGCTTGCGCCATTGTAAGCCTCTAAAAATTATAATTTCTTCGTAAAAATAAATCTATAAGCTAGCCTTCAAAAAATGCCTGCAAGAAACTATCGCAATAAATTGTGTTTATGAGGCATAATTTTTTTGCATGGGGAATCAAATTCGCGTCATCAAGCGGACTAAATCCGTGCATTTAAGTCAAGAAAAAATGATGGCAACAAAGTTGAGTCGAATCAAGGTTTTTAGAATCCAAATCTGATTCGATCGGTAGTTTCGAATTTAAAAAATATCCGACCCGATTGGACCAGGCCACAAGAACGGGTATATGTACATATGACCTACATACTTAAGTCTGGAGAGCCTACGTCTTGAATTTCTTGCACCTTGCATTTTTTGAAATGCACGAAATTGTGAAATTGAAGTTTCAAAAAATGCAAGGTGCAACAAATCAAACACTCGGATTTAATATACTTTCAGGAGGGCATGTAAAATATTAGTATTTAGTTCCGCAAATTTGTTTTCACACTTATGTTATATGCTTCGTAATAGCGAATACCCCCATTATTCGCCATGAGAAAACAAATACCTGCAAGAAAGTATTACAAGAAATTGTGATTTTGCAGGCATGCTTTCTTGCAAGAAATAAGCGTCATCTAGCGTGTAATCCCTACAATTAAGTCTTCAAAGTACGCGTCGCTAGGTCACACCTACTTCTTGCATTTCTTGCACCTTTCATTTTTTACAGTGCGCTGCAATAAATTGTGAAAATGCGGAAGAAATCGAACATTTACAAATAAATCTACTCTAATTTTAGGAGCGTCTGTCTGGATGATGGCCAAATTCGACACACCCACCGATCCGTGGTCCTTCCCGCTAAATTTCGGAACTATACTGACAAAAATATCAGAGCCAAATCCGGATGATAAAGCCGCCATAATTGCCACCCTACAAAAAATGGACCCCTTTCAGAAGGTTGACGCAGTGGCACCACTCTTAGATGTAATTGCGGACAGAACCAACTTTGATAATGCACATAACGTTACGGAAGAATTTCGCGAATATATTAACAATGGGATCCAAGAGGAAAACAAATATAGCGAAATGTTTAGGAAATGCGTGGATAAGATTCAGCACAGTGATCAGAGAGGCATGAACACGGCACAAATTGGTGCAGCTTTAACCAAAAGTACTATTCCTCAAAACCGGGATCAAATCGTGGTATGTGTGCTACTTCCTCAAATATTTTAGTCTTTGGGCAGAAACGATTTCAATTTGCACTGAAAAAAGATTATCTGCAAACATTAAACGGTTTTTTCGATGTTATATTTACTTGCAAGAGTTCAAAAAAACAAAAAATAATCGCCATCTAGCGAACAACTTTATAGTTAAGTGTAGGATAAAGAGTAACCCGCTAGGTGGCACCTATTGTTTGCATTTTTTGCACCTCGCACAAATTATCAATGAAATTTATGGAATTTAATTACTTAAATTACAGATTATTACCAAGATTTAGCCAAAAGGCGTTCTTTTTTAACAAACTATTTTTGACCTAATTTACATAAACATGAATCCCTGCTTCTACAGAGTATGGTCCAATTCCAAACGGAACCAGGTCCAAGATGGAAAAAAGCATTTCAAGCGTGTAAAACCAGTATTGGCCTTGGGGCGGCAAAATTATCCAGTACAATTGTTCGAAGGGACTTTGGTGATAGACAGGGAGATTTTACATCAGCGGGAGATATCTGTCCAGTGAAATTGCTCGCTATTCGTCGTAAGTACTTAAATATTTATAATTTCGAAGATTATTATTTTAAACAAATTTAAAATCGGAAACATTCTCGCGGACAATTTTATTAAATTTGAGTTAAAGTTTGGCCGCCAAAACACTTCTGCTTGTTATTGTCGGTCAGCCAAAATTAGCATTTTTTGCCTTACAGAAGGAGCAAAATTCCTCCATGCCCGGAAAGATGTGAAGAACGGCTTCCAAGAAATATTCGACTCGGCGAAACCACACCACAATTTGTACCCCACGCGAGAAGAATGCATTCAAATTGATAAGGAGCTTTACATACGCGGAAAAGCAACATTGGCTGCACTTAACGCCGCTCGTGAAGTGGCAGCTAAGGCGGGAGAAAATTTGCCAATGGAAATTCAAAAGTTGCTATTGGCCCCGCTAAGCGACGTGACTCATCAAGGTGACCATGGCAACCAGAATGTGACCAGTTCCACACATATCCCACTGAATGATCAGTATAACTCTTTTCCCGCTGTCAATACTCTTGGAGGCAACGATCAGGAAAATTTCCTCGGATTACTCGAAATTCCAGAAAATACATCACATTTTTTCACCACGATTTTGGAGAAACGTCCATCGGTAACCGACGACTCTAAAAATTTGTCCCTCGTGGAAATTCCATTGGATAAGGAGATTCTCAAGAGATCCCTGCAAGACCCGACCGGAAACCTGACAGCGTTTGAACCAAAGCTACTGAGGGATGATTTCACCGATACGCACGCCATGCTACTGGTATAAATTCATCTTTCAATATTTGAGGCAAAATTTAAATTTGATTGAGCATCATAAAACTGGGTTTTGTAATACATCTTTGTCACAGAAAATCAGTTTTAAATTCATCATAAAAACCAGTTTTATAAAAATAAAACGGGGTTTTGGGTAAAATCGAGGAGTTGTTTTTCCGCTTTTGGATGCCCTAATTTATAAATTTTAGATTTTCCACGATTGAAATACTTTTCTATTCAGACGGTTCAAAATATTGAAGGAAACGTTACTTCGAGGACGTACGCATTTTCTAGGGAAACATGGACCAGCGCCATGGCCAGGTGTGCAGATCAAGGTCCTATCGCCGCGGGAAAGAAGGACCTCATTCCAAATCTGTTCGAAACCGAGGAATTGAAAAATTGTACTCCCAGTGGAAAGAAACCTGGTCAAGGGAAGCGACGACCAGAATGGGTGTTAAATGAAGCCAGGCAGCAAATGGTTTTAGGTATGCTTTAAATATTTGAAAATTTGATACGATTTAACCTTTTTTAAAGTCGCAATTTGTGTTTAACCCATTGCAAGCTCGCATCTTTAACAAAAAACAAAGCCCGCAAGTTCGCAAAAAAATTTGCTTGAGAATTCATTTGCGAACTTGCCCATCTCCTACATTGGCAATTTTTTTACGTTCGCAATTTTTTTCAAAATTATGTATCTGTAACTGGTGAACATATGTATTCCTGTAATGAATCTACATTTACATAATTAATTTGCCGTATTATACATAAATATCATTGGCTTGGTTTGCAGATGCCGTTCGCTATTTCGTTGGAAATGTGGCCCTAAAAAATTGCAAATATGTTGTGGAGCCTTGGTCACCCTCAGTGGAGGCGGGGATGAGGAATAAAATCATAACTTCTGGGAGCAATGAAATTCGGGCATCGCTGCTGAACTCAAGCGGACAAAATCTCCTGGTCAATGATGGCGCTTGAGTTTTCATTTTTACAATAAATTTATGCCTAGTAATCAGTGATGTCAAAACTGTGCTAAGTGAACTTTAAAAAAATTTGGGAAAAATGTATGCAACGGTTGGATAAATTTTACACATCCTCGACATATTTTAACCTTGGATAAATTTTATACAACTTTATTCAGCCTGTATTTATGGCAAGGAATGAATATAAATGGTTGAAATAATAAATGAGTGCATGTGGGAGGATTTTTGTAATTTGTAGAGATAAGTAAACGGTAGAAATTTTCTGATATGTGCTCAAATCTAAAAAAAATATGTTTAATAAAATATATATTTATTATGAAATTTGAAATTAAGTATGCACGTTAAAACTATCGTATCCCTGCGGGTGACGATTTGTCTCAAGGCTATTTAAAATATAGTAATTACATACATAAATGTATGACTTACTTCAGTTTACCTGTATTAGAAAATTGATTTCCTGATACGAACAAGACTCACCGATAGCAACCAGCATAGATATTTGCATATCTAATATAAATATTCGTATTTACAAATACCCAATAACACAGTTTTGAATCCTTTACACATTTAGCATTAACCTTGTGAAATTGATTTAGGAAATAAATAAACCGTTATTACACATGTAACTAAGGGGTGAAAGTGGTTTTGACCGTGAAACCAGTGTGACATGGGTCAAAATGAATATATTTCTTCTTAATCATATCATATCAATTGAATTACGGACTTTAACCCATTGACAAACAGTAACAAACGAGGGGATGAAACAAGTAGCAGAATAAAAACTTTTTCGCTTTCGAAAGACCTCTATATATGACAGAATGCTTAAATTTTGACAGTTATAACCTGTGACCTCGTCGACAAGGTAATAAGTACATCGTTGGCTGAAATAGGCCTATCCTACATATTTGACAGACCTTGGAATATATACTATCATCAACTTAATATCTTACGGGACCTGTTTATAATTAAAAAGGTCATGACCTTTAATCTGGCACGGTGACCTCTTGATTTACGTAGGAAGCCACCCCAATAAAAGCTCTGACCACTTTCCGTCACTAAAAGAGATCTAAAGAAAATTCATCTATTCGAACGCCAAAGCGTGACATGACGGATAAGACGGACAAAAGCGATGCATAAAGGGGTTCCACTCCTTGAATAAGCACACAAATTCGGTTAGTTGACATTATCAACTGTTCATACTTCTTATTTGCACAATTTTAATTTTGTAGCATATACACACCGCCTTACAACATGAAGTTTTGGCAGTAATAAATTTAGCAAACATTTTCTGCTTCTACCGTCGTTCCTCTAATCATAATCATAATCAGTGACTCATGGTCTTCGAATAACGCACTGTTTAATTTATAAGTATTATTTTCGTAACGTAAACCCACGTTAGGTAGACTTTTTTTATATCAAAAAAGTCCAGCTTAGCATACTTGCGTAATTCCGAGAAATTATAAATCAAATTAGATAAGTATTACACCTTTTCTTAGGTGCTGAAAAAATCAGTTTATTAGATAATTTGGCAGATAAAAAACCTCACATTTGGGATTTAGAAAGCAAAATTTAAAAAAGTTGCAAACAATTGTTTAATATAATTTATCTAAATTATATTTTTCAAGCTACATCTCGCTAGTCAGGAAGCCTCTGGTAAAATTTACACTGGCCAAACATTATATCTGCCATAAATTCTACAGTGCATCATGACACTCTCTGGTATATTACTAGTCGAATAATTGTAAACCCACGCCTCCAATCTTGTCCTGTCCAATTATTCGCAGTTTCGCAATTTAAGTCGGAAATCTGAAATGTACTCGACACAATTCCTTCCTCAAATTATTCATCATCTAAAACTTTGTGACAAAATGAACTGTCTCCCGTTCGAGTTCGACGTAAAGTCGGGGAAATTTATTTTAACAAGGTGTTCCAGAAAAATTAAAAGTTTCCAGTTCCAATGCATTTTGACGTTGCTGTACTGTATCGTACTCCTTTTCCACCTCGGCTTCTCAGGGTCGCTCACCAGATTGCAAAAGTTCCAAGGATTACCGTTCCTCATAATTTACATACTTCTGCTTTGTTGCCGATGGAATGTCACGCTTAATATTGCACCGATTCAAGCGGTCAATTCATTTCTCAAATTTGAAAGAGAGCTGCTACCAGGTATGAAGCCTTTATTTAAAAATCAGTAAGATTTACATTTCAAACTTTATGAAATTTGTCCCTGAAACGAGTACGACGTTAAATCTGGAAGAGTTTTAAAAAGAATTAGCTAATTATTTTGAAGGTTTATGAACATTGTATTTCATATGACTTGTTGACATGATTCGTTGAACACCCGAATAGAAATCACTGTGTAGAATGCAGGAATAGATCGACAAACGCTCGATACATATTGTATTCTGTATATTTTTTCTGTATAATCAGAAAATTGATAAGCGTTGTATTCTTCAAACCTGTTTTAAGCATAAATTGCTCGGCACCAAGTTTTTCTGAAGGAAAACCGTTCAAATTTTTACCCAGGCATATTTACCCACTCTTATGAAAAATAATCTCAAATGTATTTATCCAGACGCGGCAAATATGAAGAAGTCCTTGGTAGCCAAAATCATGGCTGTGTTTCTTCATCTGGCCCAATCCTCTCTGATCATAATCCCCCTGGGAATCTTCTGCCTGTTGACCTTGCAACCATGCACGCCGCCCTTTCTCCTCTCCATATCGGGAAGGTGTGCCGACATCCGGTGGGGGCAGACGCCTCTCTTGATGGGCGTGGTTCTGTTCGAAACATGGATGGCTTTACATATTCTCCATTCTGGTGCGACGTGGATATTCTACGCAGCCTTTGTCGGCATCGTGTCCATCCTCAACTACTTTCAAGCGCTTGCGAGGTCAGTTTGGAGTTTGAATTATTAAAGGTGATCTAAAACACGCATGCCCATTTTATTCCACCCGTTCGATATATTTCATTTACAGTGGTTAATTTTAAAACTTGTGATGAATATGAAGTAACTCGTAAGGTTCAATCTGTGAAAGTTATTGAGAATTGATGGATCATTGATGGATTGATCTTTGTTATTTTAAAAATAAATTTTCAATATTCACAGGCAACTAAAGAAATCTCGCACAATCTTTAAGATCCGAAATTGCATCCGCATGTATCGCTGTACTCAACTTTTGGAAACATCCTTTAATGAATTCCTCATGGTACGAACCGTTCCTGCGATGGTCGCCTTCATTCCAACGTTACAGATTGTGTCGCAGTATGTCTGCATAAAGATGCGCGGGGAAATTGAGATGCCTGGTTTTCTCCTCTTTCCTCTCATTTTGGTGGACTCGGTTGGGGTGAATCTTCTCGTGTTCACGTTGGCATCATGGGTGAACAATATTTCGACAAAATTTCTGCACACTTTGGACGCGAAAATTGCAGGCAGGAGGGGAACGCGAAAATGGATGTTAAGGAAGGAGAAAATAGCATGTGGCGTGCTAAAGATAAAATTTGGATCAAATTTCATAGATAGTGGGACTCCGTTAGTGATACAAAATTTCTGCTTGACTCAAACCATGTCACTTATTTTACTCCGATGATTTGGTTTAATAATTATCATCTTTTACCGAAACGGAAGATAAAAAGCATGTTTTTGGTTCGTAAGCTGATTTTTTGTAAGTTTACGTGGTTACAAATTTATTTACGAAGGGATGTGAATTGTCTCATTATCATCTATTTTTATTTAGAGTGTGCACTGTGCAGTATTTATATGTATTTATGTACATACATATTTATTTATATTTGTCCAACTAAATATAATTTAATTCTAAACAAAATTATGCTCACATTTTTTCAATAAATTATTAGGTATGTAAATGTATTTGTTTAAATTGAGTATACACGTCAAATATTATGATTTCGATTTTATTTATTTTTTGACAAATGCAATTTTAATAACCTATTAAACACGACAATTGCACAAAACCACTAACATACATATTTACATTGATATTGTACAAAAATGATTCTTAATAATTGGGACGAAGATATAATCCGAAATAGTTACCCTAGCGATGGTAATGCGCCTTGATACCCGCCTTGTATCAAGCCCGTGAGGAAGCCTTGCATCACGGTGGGCATCGGAGGGATAAAATTGGTCGGGGTGAAGCCCTCCACGGTTACAAAGTCTATCCCCAACCATCCCTCGACCAGGATGCAAACGGAATAATCCGCATCGAAATACTGGTTATGGTCCAGAACGGAGTACAACGGTCCGAGCGAATTGGAACAGGTGGGATCCTCGTAGATATTCTTGGAACAAAAAGTTGGGGGAACATTACCATTGATCCAAACTTCTTGAGTGTGATGCACATAATTGATGCCGGTGAGAACGTCGACGACCCCGAAGGCGCTAACGGGTGGGATGTGAGGGACTATGTCGGCTCTAAATTACAAATATGTATTTATGTACTACTATATGATACCCTTCGGTTTCGAAGGTATTTTTGGAAATTTGATGTTCCCCGGAATTTTACGTACACCTATATAGGTGTACATACGTACATATTTGCATACATATGTATGTAAATAAATAACTCTTTATTTAAATAGCTTTTTAAAAATCATCTTTACATATATTTATATATAATTGCACATATTTCTATAACTGGTACGCAATACAAAACTATGTATCTCGTATGGAATTGTTTATAGATACATAAGAGAAATAATTTTGCGACGGAATATTTCCGAAAATTAACTGACAGAGATTGAGGAAATTTTGAAGTTCAGGAAATTCTTACCTAGCGACCACCCTGGCCATCGGAATGGGGAGAGCATTCATATAATCTGCATATCCCACATTTCCCGTCCTCGGTTGACCAAATGTCACTAAGGAATACTGCGTCCCAGGAAATTGGTTAAGAGTCGTTAATTGAAATATGAACACAGACGCCATCGCGGCGCCTAAGCTGTGACCGTTTACAACGACATGAAATCCCGGATTTTGAAGGAGCAGAAAGCCAACTTCTTCCACAATCTGGGAAATATTTCCAAATTTTTTCAGAAAAATTCCAAAGTTGCCAAACTAACTCAATGACATAAATTTTTACCTCGTTATAAAGAGACATTAAGCTTAAATAGAATCCAGTATGAATTTCCACTCCGGAAACTTGTGTCGGCAAGAGGGTCAGGTCCATGATCCAATTCATGAAAGTGACGCTCCCCCTGAAACTGACCACAATTTCGCGCAAACTGCTGTGCAACGTGACCAACGCCTTCGTGTTCAATTCGTTATTCGTAAAAATTGCAAATTCTGTCACTGTGGCGTTGAAATGACCACAATAACAGCACGACAACGTCTCCAGCGTGGTCGGGCAGTACATCGAGGCCGAGAAGTAGTTGTAGTAAATGAGCTGCTCGGTTGTCATTGTGATCGTGTTGACCGTTTTGGTGGGGGCGACAGAAACTGAGGCCGGGCCGTCAAACAGGGCGATAGAGTTGGCAAGTTGAAGGGGAAACTGGGCGAAAATTAATTCGTCGTCGGATCGCGTAAAGACGTCGGTAGAGCCGCAAGTTTGGGCGGATATTGGAGACAAAGAGCGGATTATTTGTATGAGAAAGGGAAATATTTTTAGAGATCGGTTACTAAACATGGTGGAAAAATGTACTACGGCTAAAATTAATTTTAAATATGTACAACGTGGAGTGCATGATTAGAATAAAGGTTGAAGTTATTTATACACCTTAAATATTTAGGGCAGGTAGGTATTACTCATTTCTGTTGTTTTGCATGTGTGCAGTAGTAAATAATTTAGCGGAGTAATAAAACTAGTTTAATTGCAGTTAAAAGTTTAAATTATGTCGGTGTCGATGCAACGTATGCACAAAATGGATAGTTATTATTTATTTGTATTTGTTAAAATCTGGTTGTTTGTGAATATATGTATGTACGTATGGACATACATATGTACATATGCATAAAATGAATCACAAATCTATAAATTATATTCGTATAAACATATTATATGATACATTACATAGGTATGTACGTAATAAAATTTGTTGACAGATTCGTAGCATATTTTTTGCTGAGCACGTATTTACTTATTAAATATGCTTATCACTGTTTAAGCTAATTGAAATAGGTAAATATATATGTTTCTGCCGAGTTTTAAGCCGCATTAAAATACATACATACATACCTATATTGATGCATGGATAGATTCGATTCATTCAAATGAACTCTTTCTTTTGAGCATAACTGCTCATCAAGTTATGAAAGATAATTAAAAGATGTTGTACCATTTAACATGTCAAAAATTTGTTACAAGAGTACTTAGCATCAACTAAATACGGCAGAATTTATAAAAATTAAAGTATTACTACTCTTTTAAAACAATTTTTTCTCCGTCTAAGTTTGGTTTGGAGAAAGTTTGATAAGCTTTTAGATTACGCATTGTCATCAAATTTTATGTAACCATTTCGGCCAAACTACTTATACATAATTCCCTCCCATTTTTTGTTGTAAATTTTAAATAGTTGAAACCGATACATATTTATAGATATAGTGGAATTATTCGTGCGTGTCACCTCATTTGCCTAAATCTCCATTTCACATTTTCCATATTGAATAAACTCTATGTCTCTCACCAATGCAATGCGTGAAAATATGCAAATTAGGTGCCTAGCACAAATAAATCCGCTGTGTAAATATTCTGGACTATTAACCTTCGAACATAAACCGTTTCCCAAACCCGGGTAAGGCGCCTTGATACCCGCCATCTACGAATCCCGTCATAAATCCTTGCATCGGGGTGGGCATCGGGGGAATAAAGTTGGTGGGTGTGAAGCCCTTCACCGTAACGAGGTCGATGCCCAACCATCCCTCGACCATGTAGCAAACGGTGTAATCCGCATCGAAATATTTTTCATGGTCCCCAAGGGAATACTTGGGCCCGAGTGAATTGGAACAGGTGGGATCCTCGAAAAAATTTTTGGAGCAAAAGGTCGGGGGAATGTGACCACTTGGAGTAGCCCGAACTTCTTGAGTGTGATGCACATAATTAATGCTGGCGAGAACGTCCATGATACCGAGGGCGCTAACGGGTGGGACGTGGGGGATTATGTCGGCCCTGTAAATTCATTTATATAATTTGGTAGATTTAACAAATGGCGAAAAATTCTTGAAAACTAGATCAAAAATTTTACGAAATTACACATATTTGATTTTTCATCCCTTGACTATTTCTAGATATCTTGCATATTGGAGAAATATGTACATAACTTTGTTTTACAAACGTGTCATTGCAAAGTAATATTTCCAAATATAGCGTGACAGTCACGTGATAAAAATCGTCACCCAAATTATTTAACTAGTTGAGAAAATTTAGAAATTGCAAAAAAAATTACCTAGCGACCACTCTGCTCATCGGAATTTTGAGAGCATTCATATAATCGGCAAATCTCACATTTCCCGTTCTCGGTTGACCAAATGTTACCAGGGAATAGTGCGTCCCCGGAAATTGGTCCAGACTCGTTAACAGGAATATGAGTAGAGACGACATCGCGCCGCCTAAGCTGTGGCCGTTTACAACGATATGAAATCCCGGGTTTCGATGGAGCAGAAGTCCAACTTTTTTCACAACCTGGAAAGCAAATATTTGCAAGTTTTTATAGGGTAAATTGCGAATCCTTCTAAAATCTACTGATTAAATTGGCGACATTTATTATTTAGGTTAATCATTATTCCTTCGTACTACTGTTCATCCGAGAAAAATGTGACTCTAGAAATTCTGAAAGGTTACCTGGCGGAATTTGTCTATTTTTCTTATTTTATCAATTACAGAAATTTATTTCAGTGTCAAAATTCAAACGTTGCTACGATATTCCCTAAAATTACGATAGCTGCCAGGTAACCTTTTAGAGAAACTTGGCTCAGCGAAGGTCGCATTTTTTTCGGATGCAGTAATATGAATCAATATTATTCTTCGAGTAAAATAGGTTACGACGGTTACGAACTTTTGTACGCGTCGTAGGATTTTGTCATTAAAAACCCGTCTAAAATTTTTGCGAAGCTCGATCTCTTTTTTTATTCTTCATAAACCATATTACGATACCATGGTTACGGAGACAATTGTGAATACCCTCAACAGATTTGTACCTGATTATAAACCGACATTAAGCTTAAATAGAATCCTGTATGAACTTCTGCCCCGGCAAATGGTGTCGGGAGAAGGGTCAGATCCATGATCCAATTCATAAAGCTGACACTCCCCCTGAAAGTGACCACAATTTCGCGCAAACTGCTGTGCAACGTGACCAACGCCTTCGTGCCGAGTTCTTCATCCGTAAAAATCGCAAAATCCGTCACTGTAGCGTTAAATTGGCCGCAATAACAGCACGACAACGTCGCCAAGGAGGTCGGGCAGTACATCGAGGCCGAAAAATAATTGTAATACTTGATTTGCTCGGTTGTCATGGTGATCGTGTTGACCGTTTCGTTAGGCGCGGCGGAGATGGATGTCGGGCCGTCAAAGAGTGCGATAGGGTCGGCAAGTTGGAGGCGAAACTGGGCGAATATTAATTCGTCGTCGGATTGTTTAAAGACATGGACAGAACTGCAATTTTGGGCAGATATCGGGCTCAAAGAATGGATAAGGAAGAGGACGGGAAATATTTTAAGAAATTGGAAATTATGCAAAAACATGGTCGAAATATAAAATGCAGGTAACAATTCTGGAAAAAATCTGTATGTACAAGTAGAGAGGATGGTAACCACCGTCTAAATAAAAGTTGAGGTTGTTCATATCCTTGAAATTGTTGGGGCAGGACATTGTTTTCACTCATTTCTGTAGTCCTGTAAATATTTGTGAATTTATGTAACAGGGTAATAAAATGTGCTTACATAATGGCAGTTTAAAATTTAAATTATGTACGTATGTAGATATGTCGCTGTGAGTGCGAATGGGTACCAATATGTAAGATTGTATATTATTAGTATTTTTAAAAATCTGCTTCTTTGTAAGCATAAGTTTGTTTGTACATACATATGCACAATATGAATCGTGTACATGTAATACGTATGTATGTACGCGATATTATTTACGTAGAGGCATTTTACGACAACCTTCGTACATAAGTCCGTAACCACGCAAACTTAAGACTTAAGATCAGGTCACGTTGTTAAGCACATAAAAGTTGAACACATTGTGTGTAACAATTCAACATAATAATGCAAAAAAAGAGAAACGATGGAATGAATCATATCTAAGCACATACATAAATAACTACACACGTATGTACCTAATTTATTATATCTGTATGCATACATACACAAATGCATACCAACATTTATCACTTTGAACTTGTCCAGCCAAGTAAATGCATCCTGTTGCAGTCAACCAATCTAATCACGACACTGTCCAGAAAACTGCTCTTACAGTGCATATTTTATGTATACTCCCTTCTATTTGATGTGAAGGGTTCGAAAAAACCAGTGTTTTAATCAAAAATAGCCTTGGGTGTTATTGGTGTTATTGAGTTTTATTTAATGAAATTTTGTGTTTTAATGGGTTTTAATGTGCTTTCTTGGGCTTTATTAGGTTTTAGTACTTAATAAATTCTGCAAAATTGCTTCACAACTATATATGTATTTAGTGGAAATAGATTTCGGTCATACCCAAACAAACCCTTGTTGTCGATACGCACGAGATACTCTTTATGTAATGGTAAGGCATTTTCTATAAGAAAAATGCTCCACAATACATAAATAATTGCAGAAAAACGAAATCAAGCAACAATGCACAAATAAAGTCGTTTTGTCGTTTTGCTGACTGCTATGATACGAACCCTGGACTTACATAAGTATTTAATGTTTGTATTTACATTTATAGGAGCGTATGTGCTTGGCTTTCTTATAACATTCACGTCCATTCAATCCTTGACCAAGTGTGCAGCAACAAGAACTATTTTTCATGGTAAGAAATATTATATTTATAACATGGAATAAATTCAAAGTATAATAAATAGATTATTATAGACAAATTTTTTAATTCCAAATTTTAACAAAACGCCTACAATGTTACATATGTATCTCTCATGTCTGCTTAATATTAGTAACAAATTATCAACAAATTTACTCACCCCTTGTGTTTTACTATAGGAATGAAATTTTAAAAATTTCCATCACGTCTGTCTATCATTCTAAAACATCGCACGAAAATGGTTTCCGAGTAAGTCTAACAATTTTTTTTACAATGATGTCTGCTTATTTCATACATAAATTAACGTATTTGTTTGGACTCCTCCTCTTCTCCAGCTCACCACCCCCCACGTACGACCCCACCACCACTAAAATTAACTTCCCTCCCGAACTCGACGCCGCATTGGATATCATGATAAAAGCTGATGGCAACAAGGACAAAACAAAATCTGAAGCCACGGCCGCTTTGGGGGACACGATTTCAAAATTCTCGTCCCATTTTTCCTCCCCTTCAAACATGTGGACCGTTTTCGACGCGATGAAGAAATTCATCGCCACGCAGCCCGCTTTCTCCGACCAATTCAACTACACGAACCAACTCGCACTAATTTTGGACAGCATTTCCACCCCGGATAAAACTCGGGACGAGAAAGTAATCCAACTTATCGCCGATTTTAAGAACAAAATCGCCACTAAAGGTGACCAAATCGGACAGGACGTAGCAACCTGGGTGACTGGAAATGGAGATAAAATTACTCCCATTAACCTCTCCTTATTGCAAATTGTGCTGGAGAAAGTTGGATTTCCATTGCAGCAAAAAAGTTGGGCAAGCGCAATCACAATTTTGCAAAATAAGTATTGCATACTTTTACCCACCGAGGGTAATACTTGGCTGTCTGAAGTGGCATCGACCCTGATGAAAGTGGTCCCGTCCGAACTGAATAATCAAAGTCGAATCGAATTGGTAACGCTGCTCCAATTCTGCATCACGACGTCGCTAGATATGCAAAAATTTCAAGACTTGCTCAAGAATATTCTCACAGTGTTGGAAAAGGATGACAAAACTGTGCGAATTTCGATAACAAAACTAATCCTGAAAGCAATCCAGCTTTCCATGTATTCGCCAAAGTTTATAATTCCGGTCGACTTTTTGAAAATGATGAGGGAAATTAGCCCTACCGCGGCAATTGTGAATTTTACCGGAGTCATGATGTCGTATGTGAGGGAGATTTTGCAAAATTGCAAAGATACCGGGTACGTCGAAGAAATGGTGGACATGCTCAGTTTCGCAGATTTGGAGGGGATCTTCATCAGCGACGTGGTGGACGGAGTGGTTGCTATGACGATAAATCAAATCCATCCCGTCGACAGTAAAGTGTATCCCGATGTTTTCAAAGAGTTGCGAAAAAACAATGGCAAACTCACTCTGACCCCGAAAAGTGCAGAAGAATTGCTCAAGTCAGTTCAACATTCAATTGAGACTGATAATCTCGACAAATTTGCACAACTAGTTTTTCAACTTGTCGAAATTTGCGCCGGATCGGACCACAATTTTGCAGATGATGATATCAAGAATAAATTCGTATCAGATTTTGGCACCCTGTTCAAAAATCGGCTAATCACCGTGGTCGAGATAGCGGACAAGAAAATCGTACCACTTCAAATTTTCTGCACTACTTTCACCTCTCTGATCCAGCTTGGATTTGACATTGATGGCGAAACCTTCACAAAAATGAATGACTTTCAAACCAGAGAATCTTCAAAAATCGGAAACGACGAGAAAATCTCGTACCGTGGCATGATGTCCGCCACCGTGGAAAAATGGGGCGAATCTCTCTCCACCAAAATTGGCCTCGACTTATGGAAAAATCTGCTAAAAGATGAACAATTCGACGACAATGGAAGCCTGGCCAACTCAATTTTAACCAGCATTCCATTCTCAGACGAAACGTGGGACTTTATCCTGCACGAAGTCGTTTGGAAAGAGACGCCATCTCGCGAGGATAACATTTATCGTGGCCTCGTCACTTTGGCGAGTAATTCAAAATTCCCGCGCTCTCGGGTCGTCGACGTGGTGAAACATCGCTATAGCAAATTGACCTTGCACTTTTTCATTGCTTGGATTAATAACAAGAAAAACGAAAACATTTCCCCCGAGGTGGACGATGTTTTCAAAAATGGGACAAAATATCAAGAGTGGATGGATCAATATAAGGACCAAGATTCCGACAATTTGTTGACCTTGCTAATGAAATTTGTGGATTTAGAATTCCTTAAAGATGCTCCGGCCGAGATTCAGTTATTTTTTGATTTGCATGAATGTCTCATAACGAGGGCGAAGGGGGGCACGTTTTCCTCGGTGTACTGGGTAAAATGGATGGCTTGGCAGATAATCTTCGTTTTTGGGGTGAATATCGGAGTTGATTTTAATTTCAAGTTGATAGATAAGGTTGACCCTGAGTCTGTTAGATTAGGGGTGAAATTGCTGCTGGATTTCCCGATGGAAAAAGGTACCCCGATGGAGGTGGGGGAGGGTGAGGTGAAAATAATTAAGTGGCAGTTGAACGAGTTAAAGGGGGCAGGATGGGTAACGGAAGAAATCAAAGGGGACATTGGAAAAGTGCTGGATACGATTGGGAAGGTGTGGGGTTAAGGTTCGAATTAACTAGGGCATAGATTTTTAATCTCATCTTACCCCTATTCAATATCTTTAAATGTCTAAAATGGAATCAATTCATAAGTTTCGAAATAAATGTGATGTGCATTCTACATGTTTAATTATGTTTGCAATTCAATAATTATACTGAGGAAAAAAATTGAAGAAGTTTCTAAAAATGTTAATCGAATTTAAATATTTAGAAGTTTGTTAATTAATCACTCATAAATCTGAACAGAGTCAAGCAAATTAATTTGACAATGTTTGAAATTATTTAATTGTATCAATTTTTTATATGTATTTAGTGTTTCCGATGTAAATAAATAAATGCAGAAAATCTTAAGTTTTGACAAATTTCTTCAATCTGACTTCCGCAAACTGTAACAATTTACTCACAATCTTCTTGCTAAAGGTTAGAAATTAATGGGAAGTTAAAAAAGATCAACAAATTGTACATATTTGTCTAGATTTCATCTTATCCTGCTTCATATGCAAAATATTATGAATAGAAACGTCTCAGGTTCATATAAACTTTTAAGTCTAAACTTGACCATGAACTTGTACATTAGTTAATTCTGTAAAATATCGAAATACTGAACCAATATGCATTTGCCTTTTCTCAATAAAATCGACGTATGCATGCATAACCCATTTCATTGATTGAGAGGAAACGGAGAAATTCTTGGTACATTTAGAAATATTTACACGATAAGCGGTTTTCTTGTCCCTCCCCTTCTTTTTGTAGAGATATCATTCTCAGAAAAGCATAAAACCTTCAAATTATGTATGGCACAAGCTTTAAGTTAAATTGCATTGCATACTATATTCCACGGCTTTTGTTCCTACATATTATTAGGTTAGGGAAAAATTAGATATGTATAAATCCAGGAACACGCACGGATTCGTCTGCATTTCACTATTTCTGGCCCCATAAAAGTCGGAGATAAGAAATATCTCGACTTTTAGCCAGAAATGGTGCGCACAGGACTTGTTTCACATTAATTTGTGTAAGGAACTGCATGTGCATTCCGTCAATATAGTGGGTACACATACGGATGTATGTATTTACATATGTAGGATCTATTGAGTTTAGTAAAATAAGAGGACATTTTTGTTGCATCTAAAACTAAGGAACTCTTATCGGTCTCTTATCGCTTCCTTTACAAATCTACTTTGTAAAAGGTGCATTCTCACTGGGACAAATTAAATTTCAAGCTGCAGTACACGAATAAGCAAAAAAGGTCGCTGTTTTGCTGACTGAGACAAAAATTGGACATATTTGTATTTAGTCATTATCCAAACATATTTATCTACTTAATAGTAGCGACCTTTGTTGCTTAGAACATTCACATCCATTCACTCCCTTGACCAACAAGTGTGCAGCAACGAGAAGTATTTTTCTTGGTAAGGAATATATTTCTCACAAAAAATAAATCAGTTTGATAAAAACAATTCAATCATCGTAAATTTTGTAAAACGTATTTAATAGCAATTTATACACAAATGCACTTGTGTTTTACCATAGGAATTCAAATTTTTAAAATTTCCATCACCTCCATCACTCCAAAAGATTGTGTAAAAATGGATTCCGAGTAAGTGAATCAATCGTCTTTCACAACAACTAGTTTCATAACTATGTCATACATAAATTAACATTTTTTTACATCTCACCCCCCAGCCCACCTTCCCCCACCGACGATCCCACCACCATCAAAATCAACTTCCCTCTCGATTTCACGACCAAGTTAGACAGTCTGCTACAGGATTATAGCAACAAGGACGAAATCATGTCTGAAGCCATGGCCGCGTTGGGGGACACAATTTCAAAATTTTCCTCCCATCTCTCCTCCCCTGCTAACATGTGGATCATTTTCGACGCGATGAGAGAATTCGCCTTCGAGGAGAAACGTTTCTTCAACCTATTCAACTACACGAACCAAGTCGCGCTAATTCTGGACAGGACTTTGGAAAGTGCTGAACGAACTGAAAGAATCACAGAACTTATCCGCGATTTTAAGACAAACGTTGATTTTGCCGATAAGCTTGACCAACTCGAGCCGGATGTGGCGAAATGGGTGCTTGAAAATGGAGATAAGATAACCCCCATTTACACCAAATTGTTGCAAATTGTGCTCGAGAAGGTTGGATTTCCATTGCAACAAAAAAGTTGGGCACGTGCCATCCAAATTTTACAAAATGGAAATTTCATACTTTTACCCCCTGAGGATGAGAATATTTGGCTGATTGAAGTGGAAACGTCCCTGCTCAACCGTGCCCCATCTGACCTGGATCATCAAGGTCGAACCGAATTTTTAACACTGCTCCAACTCTCCATCAGGAAGTCGCTGAATATGAAACAATTTAAAGATTTGGTCAAAAAGATTCTCAAAGTGTCGAATGACAAAACTGTGAGGATTTTGATAATAAAAGTAATCCTGAAAGCAGTCCAGCTTTACGTGTATTCGCCAATGTTTGTAATTCCGGTCAAGTTTTTGAAAATGATGAGGGAAATTAGTCCCATCGCGGAAATTGTGAATTTTACCGAAGTAATGATGTCTTATGTGAGGGAGATTTTGGAAAATTGCAAGGTCACCAGGTACGTCGAAAAAATGGTGAAAATACTCAGTTTTCAAGATTTGGAGGGACTCTTCATCGGCGACGTGGTGAACGGCGTGGTTGCCATGACGACAAGTCAACTACATCCGATCGACAGTAAAGTGTATGCCGCTGTTTTCAAGGTGTTGCGAAAAAATAATGGAAAACTCGCTCTGACCGCGAAAAGTGCAGAACAATTGCTCACTTCAGCGAAAAATCTAATTGAACCTGATAATCTGGACAAATTTGCACTACTGGTTTTTCAACTGATCGAAATTTGTGTCGGATCGGACCAGAATTTTTCAGATGCGGACGCCAAGAATAAATTCATGTCAGATTGTGGCACCCTGTTCAAAAATCTATTAATCACCGCAGTCGAGGTAGCCGACAAGAAAATGATGTCCGCCACAGTGGAAAAATTTTATAAATCTATATCCACCCAAATTGGCCTCGACTTGTGGATAAATCTTTTAAAAAATGAACAATTCGATGACACTGGAACCTTGGCGAACTCAATTTTAGCCAACATTTCATTCTCGGATGAAACGTGGGATTCTATCCTGAACGAAGTCGTTTGGAAGGAGACGCCATCTCGCGAGGATAACATTTATCGTGGCCTCGTCACTTTGGCGAGTAATTCAAAATTCCCGCGCTCTCGGGTCGTCGACGTTGTGAAACATCGCTATTGCGAGTTAACCCTGAACTTTTTCATTGCTTGGATTAATAACAAGAAAAATGAAAAGATTACCCAGCAAGTGGGCGAAGTTTTAAAACACGGCACAAAATATGAAGAGTGGATGAATCAGAATAAGCCAGAAGATTTCAATAATTTGTCAACACTGTTGAGTAAATTTAAGGATTTTACTTTCCTCAAAGATGCTCCTTCCGAGATCAAATTATTTTATGAGTTGCACAAAGCTCTAGTCTTTGTAGTGGGCGGAGAGACCAAGAGGATGAAAGGGGTCATCCGGTTTCATCCAGTTTATTGGCTCAAATGGATGGCTTGGCAGATAATCTTTGTCTTTGGGGTGAATATCGGGGTTGATTGGGATTTAAAGTTGATAGATAAGGTAGACCGTAAGTCGGTTGGGTTGGGGGTGAAGTTGCTGTTGGAGTTAAGGGAAGGTTCCCGGTTGGTGTTCGAGGAGGCCCAGGTGAAAATTATTAAGTTGCAGTTGGACGAGTTAAAAAGGGCGGAATGGGTGACCGAGGAAATCAAAGGGGACATTAGAAAAGTGCAGGATATGATGGGGAGAAGGGTATAAATAATTGTGGCATAGAGTTTTAGTCTTACTCTGCCCCTATTCAATATCTTTCAGTGTTAATGTCTAAAATGACATCAGTTTCATTAGTTTTGAGATAAATGTAACGATATCTAATTATGTTTGCAGTTCAATAATTATGCTGGAAAAAGAAATAATATAAAAAGTTTCTAAGGTCAAAGTTTCCAATTTAATTAGTTAGATGGGTATAAATTAGTCCCTCATAATCTGAATAGAATTAAGCTAATTGATTTGTCAATGTCTGAAATTATCTCATTGTAACAAGTTTCGTTACATCTTTCGTTTTTCCGCTATGTACAGACAATACAAATAAATATATAATATCTTGAGTTTTAACCAATTTCTGCAATCGGATTTCTGCAAATTGAAACTAAATATGTGCAAGTTAAAATAACCTATAATCTTTTTGCTACCTTTTCCTATCTTTTTGTATTTGTATGTAAGTTTGGAGATTACGGGCAAATAAAATCCAAGACAAATTTGATTTGCCGAGATTTCATAATATCGTATCCTGCTTATAAAAGATGGAACTTATTTTGACTGGAAATGTTTCAGTTGCATATGTACATATAAAGTTTTGACTCTAAATTTGACCATGAACTTGTACCCGTCATTCTGCATTAATAAACTGATAAAATACTTATCCCATACATTCTTTAAGTAAAATCGGTGCAGAGCCCATTTCATTTCTGGGGAGGAAACAGAGATATTTTTGGTGCATCTAAAAATATTTACATATTTAAGCGATATTCTCATCCATTGCCTTGTTCTGGTAGAGATTGCATTCTGAGAAAATCATAAAACCTTCAAATTATGTATGGCACAAGCTGTAGGTTAAATTGCATACCATATTCCACGGCTTTTCTTCCTAAATATGATTAGGTTAGGGAAACATTCGATAAAACCAGAAACAAGGATTCGTCTGCATTTCACTATTTCTGGCTCCATAAAAGTCGGGGATAAGAAACGTCTCGGGTTACGCGGAGTATATGGAACTAGTTTTACATGAATATGGATACGTACGTACGTATGTATGAAACTGCATGTGCATTCCTTTAATAAATTGGGAATACATATGTATGTGCATAGAATCGATTTATCGGATTTATGTAAAATGAGGGGAGTTTTTGTTGCATCTAAAAATAAGTGAAGTCCTTATCGCTTCCTTTACTTTATTGAAGGTGGATTCTCAGAGAAGCGTGAAAGCTAAATACATACGTACGAATTAAATAGATAAGTAAGACAGAAGCTGCAGGTTAAGTTACATGCAATGTTCCATGATTTGTCCAGTTATTTCCCAACCCTCAATCTGGACGGAAGTGATTACTACAGATTTCTCAAGCTTGAATTTCCAACTGGTACGAATTTTACAAATTTATCAAATAGTTTAAATTGTCCAGTGATTATGGCAGTAAATTTATAAATTTACTGGAAATTATAGATACCTGCGATACACCTGCAATATTCCTATTCAACCCTACCTGGATTGGGGTACCAAGTGTAAGTTAATTTTTTTTACTATACATACATTCATAAAACAGGGGGCGTATTTACAGTATTTAGTACGTATTTACAAAGGCATGTTAAAAATATACACAAAATCGCAAAATTTTGTGAAGGGAGTTTTAGAAAAATTAATTTGCTAAATTTTCTTTCGTATAAAAGTTCCCTCATGAATAAATAAATAAATGCTTTGAAAATATTGTCCGATTAGGTTTTGGCTTAAGTAATCCTGCTACACGTACATATTTTTATTTTATAATCTGCCGAGAACTTTTAAAAATCAGACCGACCAATTTTGCGGCGGCGCAAATTTTGGTTACTTTTCGGCGGTGTCGAGGGGGCGGGCCGATGTCCCAATGTTAAAGGAATAGGAAATGCTACGAACCTTGCTATTGCTTTCAATGCTGCTAAAGATTTGAACTCGCAGCAATGAATACCCCCATAATTTTGAAAAAAAATCCTAACCAAATTGAGATCTGCACGTTCGCGAAGGAGTTCTCAAGTGAATTTTTAAACGAACTTACAAACTTTTGTAATTTTGCTAACGATGCGAACTTGTAATGAATACCCCCATTATATAAAACGAAATTCTACTTGTTTCAATATATTTTCAGCTAACAAAATGGTGGCCGACCATCCAACCGACGCCTACATCTACAACGATACCTCCTTCAACTCGGAAGTCTTCAATGTTTCCGAAAACACCGAATATCCCTCTATCGTGCCACCCGGTATCCCTCTCCCCATCGGAATTCGTCATCATGCCCCCTTCGGAGAAAACCAGCTTCTCCTTCGTCTCCTCGATTACGAAGGTAAGTTACCTTTACACATGTTTACATTTAACTACATATTTTATAGAGAAGGGATAAATTATTCATTCATTACTCAAGAAATTAAGGAATAGTTACCGACGAATATTTTTTTCAAACTTTTAAATGAATGAATAATGAATAAATATTTATTCATTAAATTTTAACAATATTTAGTGTTTTTATCATTCATTAACATCCCAGCAGACAATTTGAATAATAACCAATAAAAAATGAAATGAATAATGAATGAATTATTTTTTATAATTTTTAAAATGAATGAATTTTGAATTCATAAATATTTCCTGAATAGGGAAAACTTTGAAAACCGTCACTTTCTCCTCATCCCCCGCGTCCACCTGGGTCGTCACGTTTGACGGAGTCGGATCAAGATCATGGGGTGGCAAGAACAACGAGGTGGACCCATCCGGCCAATTCTATCCGTGGGCGAAGGACTACGACTTCCGGAACCAGGTCCAAGAGCTAAAATATGCGATTCGCGTCGAAGACGAGACCCTCCTTATTCCCGCCGTACCAAAATCCGCCGCAATGGAACCCGTTTCCGGAATGGATGATGATTACAAGTCGTCACTTGACACATTTTTGGACATGGCTTTTGGAGATGATAAGAAAATCGCGGACGAAATCCGGGCCGCATTTCCCTCGGGGCCCGACCACTTCAAGGATGCTTTCTCTTCGGATGAAAATTTCAAAAAGGCGATGGGAGCTCTAGTCAAGTTTCCTGGATTGCTGCAACGTCTCGAGAAACTCCATATTATCAACGTGTTGCTAATCGTATTGCGAAAATGGGGTGACGTTGATAAGGAAAACTTTCCAAAATATGTGGATAAATTGGTGGACGACTTTAAAAAGGTGAGTTATAAAATTTTGTAAAATTTGATAATGATTGAGCGTGCTCACGTCAACCTCTCGCAAATTCAGAGTAATAACAAAACTTACGAAATTTTGCCAAATTTGAGAAATTTCACAAAAATTTTGTTTGAAAAGCATGAATTTTTTGGCAAATTCACAGAGCAATTGGGCATGTTATTATTTCGCAACTCATCCTGACAAGAGAAACTGTCAGCAAGAGAAGTAAATGGAAACAATGTAAAAATAGGTGTTGCTACTAGATTTGCAAGATTGGTGAGATTTGCGAATTTACATTTTTTAAGAATCCTATACAAATTTTCTGATCTTCGCAAGTTTGCTAAAAGAGTTGCGATGCGATACGAAATAAGACATTTTCGCGAGTACGCTCATCAAAATAAAGTTTATAATATTTATAACTAAAACTTTTGTTACTTAAACTTCAAACAGGTTATCACCCCGGATTATACATCTGAAGATTTCATCCACCTCGGGACCTTCGCCGGAATGCAGACGCCGTTCTGTGACGATGCCATAGTCAAAGAAATCTTGGAAAGGGCCGACTTCCCGAAAAAATCGGAAACGTGGGAAGTTGGTCTGCAATTTCTGCAAAAACCGGAAACCTACTTTGTAAAGGACCCCGATTATGTGATCTCCGTTTTCAATAGCGTTGTTCAAATGGCCCCGGCGGAAGTCAAGGTGCAAAAAGATCGCGAATTTATGCTCGACATTCTCAAGTGCTCGATGCGCAAGGGGATCGATGGCGAGAAGCTGGTCAAATTTGTGAACGCGATGCTGGACCTTTTCGACGCCAAAATATCCGGCGACGCGGCCGTCCCAGAAGACGACGAGTATAAAATGGAAGGCTATCTAATCACCAAGCTGTCCCTGCCCGCCCTGGAATTCGGATTTTATTCCAATGCAAAACCCGAAAATCGGATTCCACAGAAAATCATTGATTTCATGAGCCAAATCAGAGAAGAATACCTGACCGGAACATTTCTCTCGTATTCCTTGGACATTTTGAAAACCGGGAGTGAAGCCGACACCGAGTATGCAAATTCTCTCGCCACCGTTTTCGCCACGGCGATAAACAACCCAGGAATTTTTAGCGACAATAAAGAATCATTGCCCGTCTTGGTGGATGTCCTTTGCAGCAAAAGATTCCGTTTGGATGGCACCGTGTACGAGCATATTTTGCAAACTTTGCAATCCGCCGTGGGATCACTGGGCGTGGGGGCAGATGAAGCTGAAAAAATTGGTGCTGCTGTCGAAGCCCTGTTTAAAACGAAGGATGATAAATTTGCGAATATCATGAACCTAATCAAAACTTTGGGACAAGTTGAAGAAACCAAGAAACGCAGTAATTTTGTGGATTCGGATTCTCAAACGAAATTCCTGTCCAAGGTTGGCGCATCTTTTAAAGAATATCTCAGCCAAGCGGGATCTTTGGAAGAGACTAAAGAAAAACCCGCCTATTTTGCCGCGCTCACTTCCATCTTAAAACTGGGCTTCGAACTCGGACAGGATGACACCCTGAAGCTGGTCGGATTGCTGGAAAAAGATGGAAAAACACAGTCCGATCTATTGTACGTTTTGGAAACGGCGCTTCATCAATTGAAGGGGAAAGATGGGACGGCTAATGACCCCGCGAAATGGATGGATTTCTTAAACGATGCCAAACTCGATGCCACTGGCCGTCTCGCGTCCGCAATTCTGGTCAACGTCAACCTAACGATGGATCAACGGGTGGAATTCATCAAGGACAAGGTGTCAACTTGGGACAAGAGTGGACAAGGGATGATTCTCAGGTCAATTTATGAATTAGCCGGGGCAGACGGGTTTCCAGGGAGCGGCATAAGTCCACTCGTTCCTTTGCTCAAAGAGCCCGAATTGACGGATTCAATCTTCCAAGTGATCAATGTTTGGGTAAAGAATGAAAAAACTGGGGACATTGCAGACCAGGTGAAAGCAACCATTGGAATTTTATCGGATCCGGAATATGGCTGGATTTTTGATAACACAATCTCCCAGTTGTTCGCGTTCCATGAAAATTTAATTAATCGTGGCACAGGTACGGTTATAAAAATAATGTTACCTTTTTGAAAAGTAAATCCACCCTAAATTATATATCAGATTCTATATTAAAATTCAAAAATTTCCATTAGTTACTTAAATTTTGCCTGTGAAACTGAACAATTTAAGAATTATGTTCCATCATTTTTGATATTACAATTGAATAATCCATAAAAATCAGAATTCCAAATCCTCATAATAATTTAATAATACTTTGTGAAAATTTACGAGCATTTTTTAAGAGTGTATTTATCTATCTGTATGTATTTAGATCCCAAGGAGTCCGGCCTGCTGAATTGCTGCCTCGACTTTATCCACCGGGGATTAGATTCGGACGGAAACGACGACCCGCCCCGCTACGGAACGAAGCTATTACTCGCCCTGCAAAAACACGAAGATTTGTTGGACGACGCCACAAAATCCGGCCTGGCCGCCTTGCTGAAATCGCAAATCAATTATAACGGCGATTCAGAAGTGAAGGAAAGTCTGATTGAAATTTGTGTCAAGTACAAATGGTCGAACATAACGATGCCCGATGTTGCAAAAATTCTGGACGACGCGCCCTATAAAATTGAGATAATTAAGGACTTGATCCCGCTCTACGAAGCAACCCCGAGCGAACCCGTAGCCCAAAGTTTGGCCGACTATTTAGCCAAAAGCATCGAATTTGGCGAAAATATCCCCGACGCGGTGCAAAAATTGCTATTTTCCACAAAAACGACGGAAGTGGTGGTCACCTTGTTGAAGTTTTTGTCAAACTGTGTCCGAATCTCGGCCCCTCCTCTCCCCGATAAGTGGATCCCGACAATTCTAGATTTCATGGAGAAACGAGAACTCCCAAAAGTTCGGGTCGAACAAGTCGAAATAATTGAGAACATGGCGACATTACTTTTTCTCCTGGAAGTCAACTACGGCCTGGATCAAGAAACTTGGACCCGTTGGAAGGCCCTGATTGAAAAAAGCGGGGGAAACATGAGGGCTCAAAGATACGCTAATTTGACCCAATTGGCCATCTCGGATCGCGTCACTACGCCAGAAGAGAAGATTGATGTGAACGACTACGCTAAGTCCTGGGCCGCCGAATGGGCTAGATTTGACCCCGTCGGAGTCCAACTTCTCGTCAGAAACATTGCAGCTAATAAGGGATTAAAATTGGCGACAAAATTGCAAATTGTCTGTGTCACGGCCGACATGGCGTCTGCACCTCGCCCAGAAAAGGAGGAACTAAAATCTGCGAAAGAAGAACACAACCCACTCGAAACCCAGGGGGCCCTTTACTTTCACGCGATATCTTTAATGGCGGAAAGTGACGATGACCTCAACAATGTCGACCAACTCGTCAAAATCAAAGACAAGTTTAAGACCCACCAGCTCTCCGCTTTAGAAAATCTTGCAAAAATGTTGGCAAAAACGTACGTCCTATCGCAAAAGTGGGATGAGGCTACCGCCATTTTTAAGACCGTGATAACCAATCAAGATCCCACAGTTTATGATCATTTAGAAGGTTTGAAATCAATCCAAAACAAGGATCTAAAACCTGCCGAAAAAATCCAGGATTTAGCCACGTTAACCAAACTTCAAATTCCCATCGCCCCATTCTGCAGTCGCGTCGGGTTGGACCTTTTCTCCGAACCGGTCTCAAATTTAGTCACGTTCCTGCAATCTTTCGAACCTGGCGTCATAACTGAGAGTGAAATCGCCACTTCGGATCCGTGGACTTGGCCGACCAAGCTCCTTCGCGGCTTTATTCTCTCCAAAATCACCAAAGACGACACCACCCATCAAAAGGACACAATTCTTCAACAATTTGACCCACTCTGGTCAACCTGGACGCGACTCGTGACCCCTCCCCGGTTCAACACAACACACTTAAGTGAAGACACCCAAATATGCAAAAATCTCCGCGAAACCTTGCAAACCCTAGTTGGAACAACCTGGGACCTCGGCACTGTCAACTTCGTCACATTTCTCCTCTCCCAAATCCGACCCATCCCAGATTTTACGGCGAAACCCTTGCCCCTCACATTCCCTCAGGTCAAGACCAACTGGCTGAAAAATACTCCACCCAACGAAGCAATAACTGACGAATCGGCCACCACATTTTTTGCAAAGGCCAAAGACACCGGATTTCTGGATGGGATGGGAAAAAATCTGACCGCTTTGTACACCCTGACCTCTTGCGGGGTCAAGGCGGAAGACCTCATCCCCTTCATGGATCAACTTCAGGGGTTGGAATTAACCTCTAAACTCGACGAGTTATCTATCGCCATTCCAACCGTGAAGGAACAATCGGGCGACTTTAGTCTAGAAAAATTAAGCAACTATTTGCAGAATTGGTTCCTCGAGACGAAAGCAAGCGTCATTTTTGAAATAAGTACCACCCAAAAGTCTATCGTGGTTGACATGTTGAAATCTATGAATCAGTTTGAGAACCAGAAGACAAATGATTTCGAAAGTTTGCAAGAAATTTTGGCAATAATGCAGAAACGCTTGGACCACGGTGCTGATTCGGGAGAGGAACTTATTAAGAAGCAATTGATGACTTATACAACCCTTATTCAAGCAATGTACACGTACTCTTTGGAAATTAAAACAGTCCTGAAAGTCGTGCAGGATGAAAAGACGGAAATTAGCAAATGGTTGTCAGGATTGTCCATTGCGCCAAAAAGTGAAGACGTCAAGGAACGAAGTATCGATGAGTTGATGAAACTATTGGAGGATTCAAAATCTGAAGGGCTGGACTTGCCAGAAATTCGCAAGTTGTACGACTCGATAATTGCGAAGGGGGCCGAGTGGAAGGACAAGAAGGAGGACGATGTGAAATCATGGGCCAAAAAGGTGAACAAGGACACGGACAAGGCCGAAGTTATTGCTGGACTGGTGCAAGCTGTCGCCCTAACGAAGAAAGATACCAAGCCGAGAAATGCACAGATTTTGGCCTTGTTGACTTTGACGCAAAGTTATGAAAAGGGAAATGGAAGATTGGCAAGGGTTGAGACGGGTGAAGGTATGTAAATATTCTTATTTAGTTTGCACGAAAATTCGGTTTTTCGGGTTTGCACGAAATAATCTTCTATTAAATCGCAATGTCAAAATTAGCTTCCAGAAATTAAATAAAATTACTGTGCATATTATGTTAAATATTTATTGGGGGCACCAGAGCATCCCAAACTTCGTGAAGGTCACATTGCAATATAAATACGTTTACCGAGTTTACGAAGCTTGTGAACTCTTGCGCAGAAAATACATAGATTTTTGCAGCTCAGAAAATCTTGAAAATTATAAATTTCCAGTTATAGAATGCAATTCAATAGCTTCAAATTTACGGAATTAAGTAAATACGTTTTTTTAACAATGAGATTGTGAACAATTAAAATTTGTTCGTTAACAAGTGCCGAGGATAACTTCGTAACTATGAATTTCAATACGTTTCGCAACGGTGCTAATGAATCTGATGAGCCAGAATAATTGCAACTTGGCAATTTTTATTTATTAATTATTTCGTACGGCAAAAATAATTTTTAAAAATTCAGATCAGTTCCATGAAATTAAGTGCCATGGCATACATATGTTATTTACATCGGTACTCTAATTGTAAGCTAATATGTAATCATTTATTTTTACAGGGAAATCCCTGATAATCGCCCTATTCGCTGCCTACGTCAAACTAACACAGGACCTCAAAGTCGACATCGTCACACCATCGTCCATCCTCGCCGCACGAGATTCCCATCTCTTCGCCGACTTTTACACTCTCCTCTCCCTCGACTCCGGCTTCCTCACGACCATCCCCACCGACAAATCGTACGAAAAAGACGTCTTATACGGGGACCCTCAATCCCTCCAATCCGACTGCTTACGGGTGGACTTCCACTTTGAGGACGACCTCCGAAAAAAGCGGCCCTTCTCCCTCGTCATCGTTGACGAAGTGGACTCCATGCTCATCGATCAGGCCGCCAACACCACAAAATTAGTCGAACCCGTTCCCGGCGTAGAATTTCTGGCCCCCTTGTTCGCCGCAATTTGGAGAATTGTCAACGACACGGGAAACATGCTAATACCTATCAACAACGCTAAATACTGCCCACAAGAAGTCACCAAAACCGACTGTACCGACTTGGTCAGTGTCCTATCACAAATTACAAAAAGGCACGGACCCCCCTCAATTCTGACTGAATCTGTCAAAAACTTTGCTGAAAGAATGGCAGAACTTGAAACAAAGGATGCCAAAGCTCGAGAGGCCTTAAAATTATTAATCCGCAATAAACTAATCCCGGGCGACATTGGTCCCGCCGACGACCCCACGACGGATGACACACTCAACAAAATAATTCAGAAGAGATGGAACACCGACGAGAAGACGTCTTTGGTCCATATTTGCGGAAAGTTTCTGGGCAGAAAGGTTCAAATTTGGGGCCTCGATGCAGAAAAAGGACTCGCCCTAAGCGCCACCTATCACACCGATCAGGAACCAAAAGACATCCCAGATCACTTCAAATTCCTCCCGATTTTTGAAATGGAAGGCAAACTTGTCCAACTCCTCGAAGCCAGTGGAAACAATGCGGCGTCGTTTTTATTTAATCGAGTCACCGAGAAAATTAAGGCTCTCGTCGTCTTCAGCGATGACAAAAACGTGGACAGAGACAGTGACAAGCTCGTTCTACCGCAACATTTCAAATCCTTGTACAACTTCAAGTTGCAGCGTTGGATTAGATCCGCCATCACGGCGCGGTATTACGTCCATGAGGATCAAGACTACGTCCTCAAAGTGCTGGATGGCGATAAGCACACCCGAATCGTGCCGGTGGATTGGCAGAATACCGGAATTTTAGAAGAATCCTCCGTCTGGCCGGATGGCGTGCATCAATTCCTCCAAATTAAGCATCTCCTCGCCACGACGCCGGAACAAATTACGACAAATTTCCTCAGTAACGTGTCCTACTTTAAGCGATACGGCAAAAATGTCTTCGGCCTCACGGGAACGCTTGGATCCGCGAAGGAAAAGGAGTTATTGTCCAAAACGTACCAAGTCGGGACCGTAAATGTTCCAACGTTTCAAGCTAAAAGACACGCACTCTTGAAGAACATGACCCTAGAAACGAGTGACGAATGGATTGAAGCAATCGTCACTTCCGTCGTGGCCAACGTCCGTCTCCAACGGGCGGTCCTACTGATTTGCAAAACCATCGAGGAAGCCGACCACTTCAAAGACACGATTGAAACCAAAGCAAAGGACACCGGGGAACAATTCGACATCCAAAAATATACCCGATTAGACCAAACTGAGGAGACCAAAGTACCCGAAAATCAATTAAAGGGAGGCTCCATCATCATCGCGACGATGTTAGCGGGACGCGGAACGGATTTTCAAATTGACGAAAAACTCGCCGAAAAAGGCGGGCTGCACGTCATCCTCACCTTTTTCCCGAACAATGTCCGCGTCGAGGATCAAGCAACTGGTCGCGCTGCCAGAAAAGGACAACCCGGTTCGAGTCAGTTAATCGTTCTGGCCGAGAATGAAGACGTTGATCGTGTTGCGGCCGATTGGATAAGTAAAGGGACCGGAATCTTGACCGAATCCCGGGATAAGAACGAAGACTTGACACTGGACAACGTGCAGAAAAACGTGCTTCCAATGATCACACGGGAAGACGGACATTTTCAAAAATATTGCACCATTCGCAAAAAACTTGCCGACGCGGGGGACGACTTTGATAAGAAGTATACCCTCGCCTGGCTCGATGAGCAGTGGGGAATCGCGCTGGATAAGGCGAAACCTTTGGAAGAAGGCGATCCGGGGCAGGATGTCCTCCAAAAAGAGTTTGACGACAAAATGGCCTCTCTCGAAAAAGCAGTGGACGACCAAGGGAAAAATTACAAGGATGAAATTGCCAATCCCCAAACAAATTTGCTACTCGGGGCTGGATACGTGCAGAAGGGGGATGACTCCTCGCTAAAATCTGGGCAAGGATATTTGTCCAAAACGATATCGAGTGACGGCCATTTTGCCGTTAATGCGAATTACTATCAGGCCTATACCCACATCAAATTGGGGGATTCGGATTACAAGAAGAACGCCAGTGACGAATTAGCTCTTGCGCTGGAGGGAATCATGAAAAGTATTGGGGCTCAAATGGCGATCCATGCATTTGGAAATGCCAATAAGGAAGACGAAATAACGCTTGATAACGAGGGGAATATTAAGCCGAAAGATAAGCCTAAAGGGGTCAAAGATCCCGAATTCACGCAGCAAGTCAAAGGACGCGTTCATTTACTCCAACTTATGCTGAAATCGATACAAAATGCCATGAAGGAATTGCAAGATGTAAGATACAAATTTAAGTTTAACTAAATCGTAGTTATTTTATGTCGCCATAATTTTGAAGAGTTTGTATTCCCAACTAATAAATTAACGGATTTTTTTAATTTTTTTTAGTCTAAAGAAAAGACTGCAAAATTGATCCCGGTGGACGAATATATTCGGGCGCAGAAGAAGGATGACTCCATTTCTGAGGCGGAAAGGAAGGAAGCCGAGGAGTCCGGACTGATCGGATTTATTGAAGTTGTCAACAAGCCGACGCCCTGGTGGGCCTGGTTCACGGTCGTTTTGGTCTGCTGTCTTGAAGTGGCGGCAGGCGCGGTGCTCGCAGCATTTACAGGTAGGCAAAAAAAATTGACAAAAAATCTGTGCAAACTTGGCAAATTTGGCTGAATTGGTAAAGCTCAAAATCTTAACAGTATTTATCCGTAATTAAGATTAGTCATGATTTTACTTAATTATGATTCTTTTATTACAATTTATCTTTTTTATACTTTGTTTTGAGTTTATGAATTTTATTTTACACAATTTTTGCGTATTGCACAATTTATCACAAAGTTTTAGAACAATTTATAACTGATCAGCTCCTTACAAAATTTAAAGTGAGACAATTCTCGCAGTCTCTGGTAACATCATAAAATCCGTAAATTCTGTAAACTTACAAACTTTTACAAAATTATACAAATGTTTCGATCATAAATCGTGCAATTATTTGTAATTATGTATATTTAAGGAAACTTAGAAATTTTCATAAGCTTACAAAAAGATCAAGGCCTTCTCTTTATTGTATAAAAGTTGAATTATATATTTTTCAAATCTTTTCGGATTTTACAAGTCACCAATGACTCCATGAATTGCCTTGGTTCACAAATTACATCCCACATAAAATTGAATTATACTTGCAATTAAACCTGGTTCTTAATCTTTACTTAATTATTCTGTCCTTTCAGGCGGTGCTTTGGGGACGGGTCTCATCGTCGACGGAATAATCGATTTAGCTTGGGCCATAAAAGCCGCCATCAACGGGGACTACGTCAGCCTGCAAGAATTCTTTATCAACAAAGCCATCTCCATGGTCATCATGGTCCTCACGGCCGGCGTGGGTGTCGTAGTTGCAAAATTCGGAGCACGAATAGCACAATTTGCGGCAAAATGGGGCACCAAATTTCTACAAACATCCGTCGGCTCGGTATTCGAATCCATTTTCGAATTTGGCAAAACCATGTGGTCTGGACTGAAAGGATTCGTAACAAAAATTGGCAAAGCTGGGTACGAACTCTTAAAGACTTTAGGCCGCGGAATTCGAAGCTTGGGCGCGGGCGCGTTAGGATTGGTGAAACGCTTGGGAACGAAAATCAACGAATTTTGGGAAACGTTTAAAACCACGCGTGCCTGGCAGTTCCTCGTCCGAGTGGGAAACAAGCTGAAATTACCCGAAGCTTTAAAATACGTTATCGACGGAATCAACAAGGTTAAAGAATCGCTAGGAAAATTCGCAACTTGGATTCAAACGCACATTTCGGAACCATTTATCACTCGTGTCACGCCACAGAGCTTGCGCGCGAGACAGGCCGCATTTACGTTTAAACTTGTCGCGAAAGAGTTTGCACGTCGCGGCGCGCTGGAAGGGCTCGATTGGATACTTAACAGCAAATTGATGCCGCTACTAAAAGGTGTGATTTCTACCATATGTACCAATTTACATTCATTTATTCAATGAATAAATTAGTCATTCATTATTCAACAAATTCATGAATAATGAGGGAACAATATTCTCAAAATTTTTGGATGAACGAATATTGAATAAATATTCATTTCATATTCATGAAGGATGAGTGAATAATTTCATTCATTTAATTAATTAATTTAATTATTCTGTTTTTACCATATGATCATAATTTTAAAATTTTGAATAAATGATTGATTAATGAATGAATTTGTTGAACAGGTCTGATTGCCACCGAGTTGAAGAAATATGTCAAGGACAGCGTCACCAAAGAGATCACGAACGGATCAACGGGTCCATCCATGGACAAATATTTGGGAAATTACACCTCAAAACAAAGTTACGAGGACGCCTTTAGAAAAATGAAGAATGAAAAATTAATCAAAATCGTGCAAGATGAGCTGGCCCCACAAAATCCAAAAGTTGAAGAATCCATGATCTCTGCCCTCCTCTCGTTTGCAGATGAAGCCGCGGAAAAACTGAAAAGTGAAAAAATTGCGAAAGGACCCACAGTCAAATTGGCGAAAATTATTGAAAACGGGGCTCAATTGCTGGTCGACGTGTACCGAACGGTCGGAGTCGTGACGAGCATTGTGAAATACACGGGCGATCTTTTCACCCGGTTTAGAGCCGAGTTGGACAAAAGTAACCTGCCCGACCCGACGGACGCGTCCTACATTAAAAACGCGGATGGGAAGAAGGAATATGAAAGCGATAAGGAAAACCTGATTGAAGAATTGTCTAACCAAATAGCCGACCAAATGGCGGACATTATCGTGCAGGGGATCATTGTGCCAAAGACGGAACAAAAAATCACGGAGATTGTCAGTAACATGGGAGTTTTCAAGAATAATAAGGTGTTGGAGAAATTAAGCGAGATTCAGGTGGGGCTCGGTCATCCGGAAAGATTTCCACAAGCGTCAATCTGGGATATTTACAAGGGTAAGGGTTTCATTTACATAAAAAGCGATATCCTCTCATACATGTTTAAGTGGTCGATAGAAAGTAAGTACGAGATGCATGAATGATTTTTTCATTCTTTGATCCTGTCACAAACAAGCAGCGAAGGAACAGGATTTTAAATTTGTATATATTCAACATAGCTTCTTCAAAACTTATGTAAAAATAAGCATTTATCAGTGTGGGATAAAAAAGAATATTTTGCATAGTGCATTATAGTGCACTAGTGTAGAAGCCCGTCAATCGACGTGCAAAGTAGGCCCGTCGATAAGCCCGTTGCCCCAACATTAGTGAAGTTAGCCCCTCCTTTTCGCTCTCTGCAGAGTGGAGAGCGAGAAAGAGAGGCTAACTTCTCAAAAAAGCCACCGACCCAGCAGCGATACACTCGCCTGCTTTATATAGTTTAGATGTGCATAGTGTAATATAGTGCATTTTTGCAATTATTTTTGACGGAAAACTCGGCATAATTTGGTAACTGTGATATTCGAGTATTTAGGGTATTCACAATTTGCTTTGTATCGTATATCCTTAGTATAGTAAAATACTTACAATTAGTTTACGAAGACAAAAAGGGGTCAAGCTTCGTAAAAATGGTAACCTTATTAATGCGATTTTTTATAAAAAAAACAAATTACCAGGCTTGCAAATTATTGCAACTTATTTTGCATAGGTAATTTAGATCATAAGTAATTCAGGTTGATTTTTGTAGAATTGTGATGATTATAAAATTACTTGCAACTGTTTCTATATATATATGAAATTCTTATTTTTTCAGGTCTCAAGACGAACCGAGATGCCGAACATGCCGCAACCGTGGAAGAAGGCGTTCACCTTTTGTCATCTTCTCTCTCCGCAATGTCTGCAATTTCCGGGCAATCGATCGAAGTTTATGGACAACGTGATTACGGAACGTTCCCACATCCTGATGAATCTAAAGAACGAGACCACAAAGGACCTACTTTGAGCATGGTCTGGTCCGCGAAGGCGTGCGGTCTTGGGGAGGAAGAAGAACCCATCAGAATCGCCATGAGTCGACGAGATTGGGCGTCGCGGTGGCAATTTGCACCTGTCGTGCGGGGCAGGGATGGAATTTTGCGAATCGTTCCTACACCAATGATAGAAGGGGCGAATTTGATGGAATCCGTGGCACTAATGAGCAAGGGGAATTATGAGATGAACTTGGCCAATTTGAAATATATCGAGTCTCTGTATTAATTTAATTGGGGGAAATATTTAATTTTTTGTGGAATGATCAATTAGTAAAAATTAATTTGCATTGTAACAAGCCTAATAATAATTAAGTATATAAATGTAATGAGTTTTGAACGGGAATCATGGATGACATTTTAAATGTTTTATTGTTCCGAGCTTTCGACAGCGAGCTGCTATCTTCTTCAGGGAGCGATATTGAAATTTAAATCAAAATACAAGTGGACAAGAAAAATATCACCATTTTAGTTGTTATTTAAATAAATATTTAAGTATATAAAACTGGTAATCTGCATAATCTAATTAACTTTGTAAAAATTATGATTACTATGAATACGTAAATAAAATTAAGTATGTCAACTTAAAGCCTAAATTATGCAATAAACCGGACTTGAGAAAGTGTGAGAGTTTAAAACCCGATAAAATAATTAAAGTGTAAATTTAATAAGTTCTTATTAATAGAATTTAACTAAAATTAAGACATTTGCCCAACCGTGTTAAGTACCTTAAAAATTAATTATCATCCCAAACCATAAATATTTACACGTTATGCTACAACTTCAAAAACAAGTTTCACTTAAACCCTCACTTCTCAAAATTCACCGAGGTTTCAGAAGTAGCCATATACATACTTTTTGGCCTACGGGTAACTCTTAGACTAAGGAGTTCCTAAAGTGTTACATACAGAAATCTCACAGTATCGCGCTTGCACCTTGCATGTTTACCTCTACTTTTTCAGTTCATTAGTTTGTCAACAACTTACTAGAAAATATAACGACTAAATCTTAAAAGGAGTAAAATACACTGGATTATCTAATTGACACAAATTGACTTTAATTCCGAGTCGACCACGGCGAGTGGATCATCTCTTCTGCCCATAACACAAGTTCCAGACATATGAAACGATGTGGTTGATGTCTGCATGATGTAGCACTTCCAGTAGTCGTCCGAGTCAAAAGGATAGGATTGCATGCCTTGAACTTCCGGTAAGAAAACCAGGTGAATGCCGAACATTTAATAAAATATTAACACTTAATCTATGAAAAATCATGAATTATCTTAAATAATGCTAACTCTCAAGCAAACCGTCTAAATCGATGGGATCTGTACAACTTCCCAGGTCAAGAGTGACCAATTTCTTGAGAATGCAACAACTGTAAGGGGAGAGACAAGGAAATCACTTTTTTAGATGCACCAAAAATATCCCTCTTATTGTTTTAAATGCATAAATGACTACACTCTTTGCTTATACCTACACCGATTTTACTTAAAGAATGCAAATTCAAGGGATTAGTAGTTCCATATTTTTATGAAATTACTTGTTACAAGTTCTTTTCAGGTTTAGACTCCCAACTTTCCAGCCGAGGCATTTCTAGCGATAATCTTTCCCAAGTTGTATGGAACACGAAAAAAAAGGCAAAATTTCGACAAATGCAATGTATTAATTTTTATTTCCTGTTTAATCTCCAACTATAAAATAGATACATACATATGTACATACATACGTAGAAAGAACTCTGTAGTATCAATTTTTAGAAATCAGATTGAAGAAATGTTTTTAAATTTGATATATTATGGATACGTGCAAAGACGTAAATATGTACATACATACATCAACAAACTTAATACAATTACAAACATTCCCAAATCAATTAGGTTTACTTTATCCTGATTTATGAGTGATTATAATTAATAATTATTTAACGATTTAAATGGGCTGATTATTTTTTAGCAAATTTGTTCCCAGTACAATTATTGATTTGCAAACATATTTAATTGAACATATAGAATGTCCCCCATCAACCTTGGACCAAGATTACCCCCACAATCCCCCCATATTTTCCTGCACTTTTCCAATATCCCCCTTAATTTCTTCCGTCGTCCATCCAGCCTCTTTTAAACGTTCCAGCTGCCACTTAAAATTTGTCAACTCAGTCTCCCCCAAGGTATCTTTCTGCATTGGGGAATCAAGCAGCAATTTCGTCCCCAACCTGACGGATTCAACGTTTACCTTGTCTGTCGCCTCTGAACCTAACTCAATATTCACTGAAAAAACGAAGACTATCTGCCAAACCATGCATTTCACCCAGTACACAGAAGAAAGCGTGCCCCCTTTCGCCCTAGTGATTAGAGATACGTATAAATCAAAAAACAATTGAATCTCGGCTGAAGAATCTTGGAGGAAACCAGACTCTACGATCTTCTCCACCCGCTTTAATAAATTGTCAGAATCTTTCTCTTTACTCTGATTGATCGACTCTAGATATTTTGACCCATACTCGAAAACTTCGTCCACCTCGGGGGAAATGTTTTCATTTTTCTTGTCACTAATCCAAGCAATGAAAAATTGGAGGATTAACTTGTTGTAGCGACGCTTCACCACGTCGACGACCCGAGAGCGCGGGAATTTTGAATTACTCACCAAAGTGATGAGGGCACGGTAAATGTTATCCTCGCGAGATGGCGTCTCTTTCCAAACGATTTCGGTCAGAATAAAGTCCCACGTTTCGTCCGAGATTGGAATATTGATTAAAACTGCGTTCGCCAAGGTTCCATTGTCATCGAATTGTTCATCGTTTAGCAGATTTTTCCATAAGTCGAGCCCAATATTGGTTGAGAGAGATCCGCCCCATTTTTCCACTGTGGCGGACATCATGTCACGGAACGAGATTTTCTCATCGTTTCCCATGTTTGAAGATTCTCTGACTTGGAAGTCATTAATTTTTGTGAAGGTTTCGCCATCAATGTTAAATCCAAGCTGGATATGAGAAGTGAAAGTAGTGCAGAAAATTTGAAGCGGTACGATTTTCTTGTCTGCTACCTCGACCGCGGTGATTATCCGATTTTCGAACAGGGTGCCAAAATCCGACACGAATTTATTCTTGACATCGACATCCACAAAATTCTGTTCCGATCCGGCGCAAATTTCGACAAGTTGAAAAAGTAGTTGTACAAATTTGTCGAGATTATCGGTTTCGATAACATGTTGTGTTGATTCGAGCAAATTTTCTGCACTTTTCGCGGTCAGGGTTAGTTTTCCATTATTTTTTCGCAACTCCTTGAAAACATCGACATACACTTTATTGTCAATCGGATGTAGTTGCTTGGTCGTCATGGCAACCACGCCGTCCACCACGTCGCCTATGAAGAGTCCCTCCAAATCTGCGAAACTGAGCATTTCCACCATTTCTGCGACGTACCCGGTATCCTTGCAATTTTGCAAAATCTCCCTCACATAGGACATCATCAATCCGGTAAAATTTACAATTGCCACGGTAGGACTAATTTCCCTCATCATTTTCAAAAGGTCGACCGAAATTACGAACTTCGACGAATACAAGGAATGATGGACTGCTTTCAGGATTAATTTTATCATCGAAATCCTCACAGTTTTGTCATCCTCTTCCAACACTGCAAGAATCTTTTCGAGCAAATCTTGAAATTTTTCCATATCAAGCTCCGTGGTGATGCAGAATTGGAACAGTGTTACTAATTCGACTCGACCTTGATTTTTCAGTTCGGAAGGGACCACTTTCATCAGGGTCGATGCCACTTCGGACAGCCACGTATTACCCTCGGTAAAAGTATGCAATTTATATTTTGCAAAATTGTGATGGCACTGGCCCAACTTTTTTGCTGCGTTGGAAATCCAACTTTGTCGAGAACAATTTGCAAGAATTTGGCGCAAATGGGGGTTATCTTGTCTCCATTTGCAGCCACCCAAATGGCCACATCCTGCCCGATTGGGCCACCTTGGCAGGCGACGTGTTCCTTAAAATCGGCGATAAGTTTGACAGCTTTCTCGTCACGAGTTTTATCGGGGGAAATCCTGTCGAGAATTAGCGCGAGTTGGTTCGTGTAATTGAATTGGTCGGAGAAAGCGGGCTGCATGGTGATGAATGTCTTTATCGCGTCGAAAATGGCCCACATGTTGAAACGGGAGGAGAAATGGGAAGCGAATTTTGAAATCGTGTCCCCCAACGCGGCTGTGGCTTCGGATCTGATGTTTTCCTTGGCACTCTTTTCCTTCAGCAGGATGCCCAATGTGGTGTCGAGTCCTGGGGGGAAGTCAATTTTGGTGGTGGTGGGATCGTAAGTTGGGCGTACTGGGCTGGGGGAGGGGTTCAAAAAATATGTAAATTTATGTATGAAATCGTACGTACATAAAAAGGAGATTGTTGCACTTACTCTAAAATCATTTTTGTGAATTACTTTGAAACAATGGCGTGACTTGAAACTGTAATTTTAAAGTTTTAAAATTTCCTAGGGTAAAACAAAAGGTATCTATGAGTAAATACTTACATCAATATGCTCATAAATCGTTATTTACTTACATACATTAAGAAACAGACGTGCGAAATATGTAACTTTGTAGGCGTCTTTTTAAATGTTAAGTTATAGAGTTTATAGAAATCTATTGATTTATAAATGAAATTTGATTAATGAATATTCACAAATTTTGTACACTCACTCAACTAAGTGCAAAACGTGAAATAAGGTTCAAAATAGAAAAGTCGATTGAAGTCTTCTGATTAAACATGGATTTTATTCCTTGTTGTATGTAAGTATAATATTTCTTAAAACTCAGTATCTATTTTCGCTGCTGCACACTTCTTGGTCAGGGAGTGAATGGATGGGTATGAATATTTTAAGAAAACTGAGGACGCTACTAGACAAATAAATATATACATACATCCAGTCACTATTTTTACCCAGTGTTCGCCCCATTGCCAGCAGAACAAAGACCTTTTTTACCTATGGGTGCATTGTTGCTCGAAATTAAGTCTTGTCTACATTTATTTATGCGTCTTTAAAGCGGTTACCTTATTGAAAATGGTAGTGAGATGGGTTCGCATGACAAAGGGTGCACGCTGTGCTTGTCTGGACAATTCCTTGAGCAGATAGGTAGATTAGTCCGGTGTTATCAGATTAGTTGACTGGAATATGATACATTTAAATACTTTGTCTGACAAGTGAAAGTGATAAATGTTCATATGCACTTTGTACTAAATTATCTAGATAAATATTTATGCATATGATGCATTGCAGCTTTTCCTTACTTAATTAATTTTGTAATAAGTTAAACACTTAATGCGGTTGGACGAAAGTCTTAGTTTTACTGAACTTTTATTAATTCTTATTAAATTTACATACACTTTAATTATTTTGTAAGGTTTTGATTGAACTCTCAAACTTTCTCAATTCAGGTTTATGGCATAATTTAGAGTTCACATTTTCTCATAGACGTTAAGTTGTCATAATTAATTTTAATTTTTTAAATTTATCTTAATTTTTTTACAAATAGAAATTACGTAGATTACGAAGATGTCTATGTGTACTTAATTATACGCTTATTGGATACAATGCAAAGTAATTTATAGTAATTGATCATTGAACAAAAAATGTAAATATTTCCCCCAAGTTAATTAATACAGAGACTCGATATATTTCAAATTGATCAAGTTCTTCGTATAGTCCGCTTTGCTCATTAATGCCACGGATTCCATTAAATTATCCCCGTCTGCCATTGGGGTAGGAATCATTCGCAAAACTCCATCGCTTCCCCGCACGACAGGTACATATTGCCACGTTGACCGATAATCTAGTCGATACATGGCGACTCGGATGGGCTCTTCTTCTCTATGGCCGGGCGCCATCGTGCACGAAACGATGGTCAAAGCTGGTTCTTCGTGGTTGCTTCCTTCGATGAGTTCGTAATCAGCTTGATTATAAACTTCGATCGATTGCCCGGCAATTTCCGACATTGTGGACAAAGCTGGTGCCAAGAGGTGCACGCCTTCCTCCACGGTTTCGGCATGTTCTGCATCTCGGTTCTTTTGACGGCCTGGAAAAACGTTAATTTTATATATTTAGATAGGTGTAATTGTAATTTCAAAATCATAAAAATTTGTCTTTGTAATGAATTATTTTACGTATTTTCATAATATTTCAATCTTCCAATTTGCAAATTAAATACGCTAGATTTGCACTATTATGACTCACACCGTAAAAAAGAATAGGAGTGTGTGGTCAAAATTAAAGAAAATGTTTTGTATTCCTCTTAAACAACAATAACCGTTTTTTTGTTTTACTAGCTTTGAGAACTCTTTATTGAACTATTTAGCAATTTGTAAAACTTTTTGCCTCCTATTTTGCGACAGGATAAAAAACCATGCAAAAAAGAAATAATGAATTTTATACTCTCTATCAAAACCTGATTTAGCCATTTAAATGAAACCCTTACCCTTGTAAATGTCCCAGATTGACGCTTGTGGAAATCTTTCCGGATGACCGAGCCCCTTCTGAATCTCGCCCAATTTCTCCAAGACATCCTTATTCTTGAAAACCTTCATATTGCTGACAATCTCCGACATTTTTTGCTGCGTCTTCGGCACAATGATTCCTTGCACGATAATGTCCGCCATTTGGTCGGCTATTTGAGTAGCCAATTCATCAATCAACTTTTTCTTATCGCTTTCATATTCCGTCTTCCCAACCGGGTTTTTAATGTAGGACGCATCCGTCGGGTCGGGCTGGTTGCTTTCGTCCAGCTCGGTTCGAAACCGGGAAAAAAGATGGTCCGTGTATTTCACAATGCTCGTCACAACGCCGACCGTTCGGTACAAGTCGACGAATAGTTGAGCCCAGTTTTCAATAACTTTCGCCAATTTTACTGCGGGTCCTTGCTTATCTTTTTCTATTCTCAGTTTTTCCGCGGCTTTATCGGCACAGGAGAGGAGGGCAGAGATAAGTGATTTTTCAACTGTTGGGTGTTGCAGGACCAGCTCATCTTGTACGATTTTGATTAATTTTTCGTTCTTCATTCTTCTAAGGGCGGTCTCGTAGCTTTGTTTGGAGGTGTAATTTCCCAAGTATCTGCCCATAGAGGTACCCGTCCAGCCATCCGTGACCTCTTTGGTGACGCTATCAATGACATATTTTCTCAACTCCTTGGCAATCAGACCTGTTCAAAAAATAGTTATTCATTCAATTTAAAAATTAGGAAAAAATAATTCAATCATTATTAATTTGAATTTGAAAATAAATTGTGAACAAATTATTGATCAAAATATATTGAATAAGGCATGAATAAATTCTGAGTAAATGAATGTAAACAGGTTTAGTCGTAATCTTACTTTTCAACAGTGGCATCAATTTGCTGTTAAGTATCCAATCGAGCCCTTCCAGCGCGCCGCGACGTGCAAACTCCTTCGCGACAAGTTTCACCGTAAACGCGGCCTGCTGTGCGCGCAAGCTTTGTGGCGTGACACGTGTGATAAAAGGTTCCGAAATGCTTGTTCTTATCCAAGTTGCTAATTTTCCTAGGAATTCTCTAACTGTTTTGAAACTATCGGTAACGTATTTTAGAGCTTCGGGTAATTTTAGCTTGTTTTTCGCTGAGACGAGGAATTCCCAAGCGCGCGTGGGTTTAATGGTTTCCCAAAATTTGTTGATTTTAATTCCCAAAAGTTTCACTAAATCCCACGCGTCTGTGCCTAAGTTTCGAATATTGCGCCACAACATTTCAAAGAATTCCTTGTCACCTTTGCCAATTGTTTTTACGATTCCTTTCAGTCCTGACCAGACTCTTTGGCCATCCTCGAACATGGTTTTGAATCCCAAGCCGATGTCTGTCTCTAAAAATTTGTTGCCCCATTTTGCAGCAAATGTGGCTATTTTTCCACTGAATCTTGCCACTATGAGACCTAAGCCGCAAGTGGCGACCATTATTCCTATGGTGATGGCTTTGTTTGAAAGAATTCTTGCAGGCTGACGTAATCCCCGTTGATGGCGGCTTTTATCGCAAAGCCTAAGTCGAACATACCATCGACGACGAGACCCATCCCCAACACACCTCCTGCAAGGACAGAACAATTTAGTTAAGGTTAAAAAATTGCAGTTTTTGGATTTTATCTCGAAAAAAGCGTGTCCATAATATTAGTAGGGATTATTGATATACACATTATTACGCAAATTTTGAGCTATCTCAGAGTGCGAATATTTAGCTAACTAATTGTATAAGTGTGTCTACTCTAATTAACAGGTTTGTAATTTTACGTGCGGTGTGGTTTATAAACTGAGGCATTTTACGTAGTCATTTTACAATATAAAAAGGAAGCCTTGATCAGAGCAAGTTAACAAAAATTGTAAGCTAATTTCCGTCAGAAATATTGGCAAAATTCCGTATACGTTTATAAATTTAGATAATTTACAAGTTTTACAGTGTTATTACTGCAAGAGCTGCCTCGATAGGTTAACGTTTTAACAATTTATAGTAAATTGTACAAAGTATGGAAATTATTTTAAAAACAGTTACGTTAAATGTTTCCCAAAAATTCATGCACTTTCACAAAATCATGCAAAAAAAAGACATCGTACTGAAAAAAATCGTATAATATAACTAATTTGTAACACTGTTAAGATTTTAGATTGGCAACTTTGCTAAGTTTACAGTTTCGTTATTAAATTATTTCATTGATTTGTTGTTGCAATACCTGTAAATGATGCCAGCAATGCACCTACGGTCACTTCGATAAGGCAGATCGAAACGACGGTGAACCAGGTCCACCAGGGCGTCGGTTTGTTGACAACTTCAATAAATCCGATCAGTCCGGATTCCTCGGCTTCTTGTAATTCCGCTTTCGAAATTGAGTCATCTTTGTTCTGCGCCCGAATATATTCATCCACCGGGATCAGTTTTGCAGTTTTTACTTTGGGCTATATTTTAAAAACCGTTTAAATAATTAGTTGGGCATATTCTTAAAATTTTGGTGACATTAAAAATTCCAGGAAAATAAATAATTTTCTTACATCTTCCAATTCCTTGAGCGCATTTTGTGTCGATTTCTGCATGAGTTGGAGTAAATGAACGTGTCCTTTGACTTGTTGGGTGAATTCGGGATCTTTCTTATCCTTGTCGGCTTCGACCTTATCTTTCGCCTTGATATTCCCATCCGCATAGGGGTTGACTATCATGGCCCATGGTTGGAGCACACGAATCCATGAAACAAATGATCATCAAAGGGGCGGTTTATGAAAAGCGGAAGGCCGACCTAGAAGAAGAAGAAAGTGAGAGGAAGCGCTCTATTGAGGATTTCGCCTTAATCGACAAGGAAAAAGCAACCAAGAAGTGGGCAGCAAATGTGGATGCAGTATTTTATTCTGAAAATTCTACATCAGAATCGGAAGAAGAATTGTCCGATGACGAAACCCCCATGCATCATCCCCACAGGTCCGCAACAATTAAACCCCAGTCCACGTCCCAGAAAATACTCGCCAGACAAGTTCAAGGAAGAGACTTGTCTCAATTTTCTGGGAAAATAGAAGAATGGCCAGCCTTCATCCTCGCCTTTGAAAGCTCAACAACAAACTGCCAATTCACGGAGGGAGAAAACTTGATCCGACTGCAACGATCACTGAGAGGAGAAGCATTGGAACTCGTTCAGTGCCTACTTGTCGACCACAGAGGAGTCAGAATCGCCATCGACAAACTACGGAAGAGATTCGGGCGCCCAGGTGTCATTATGAAAACAATGATGCAAAAGCTACAGCAAATTCAGAATGTCAAGACTGACAATTATGAATCATGGGTGAAGCTCGGAACCGGTATGGACAACTTGGTCTCCACGATCAAATCTCTTGGTGCAAAACAGCAACTATCAAATCCTTCACTTGTGGACGAACTTGTGAAGAAATTGCCTGCTCAAAAAGCTATGGAATGGGAAAAATTCAAATTGAGGAAGAAACTGGAATTTCCCTCATTGTCAAATCTTGCCAAGTGGTTACAGCCTACGGTGGAAGCAGCCTACGCACTGTGCTCAATCCCCGGAACCTCTGCAGAGAAATTGTCAAGTGATAAGTCAAATCACGACAACCGACGGCAGCCAGCCAACCAGAGAGGAGTCCGAAAGAATGGTCATGGTCACGACCGAGAAGAATGAAGCCAGACAGGCACAATCAAATCAAAGAGGGACCGAGCGTAAATGTCACTTCTGCAACGGGTCACACGGGCAGCGACACTGTCCCAAATTTAAGGAAGCCGATGTGAACACACGCTGGGCCATGGTCAAGGAGAAGAGATGCTGCATAGGGTGTCTCAACAGGGGTCATCGCATGCACGAATGTCGAAGCAAACGAGTCTGCGGGATTGAAGGATGCCAGCAAACTCACTGTCAATTACTCCACAACAGAAACGCCAGAAACTCAGAAGAATCATCCCATATTACGCAACAGCAAAGAAACCAGTCGTCTGAACAGGAAGTTGCTCTCAGTGCAGTCAGCGGACGGAGTAACCGCAACATCAATTACAACGTGATTCCAATCTACGCCAAGCGAACAGATGGACAATTGTTGCCGATGTACATGGTGCTGGACGGATATGCATCGCTCACATCAGCAGACAACTCAATTCGACAGCAATTGAATTTGGATGGGAGGAGACGACCTCTCACGGTGCAAGGATTCCAATCCACCACCACCACGCCAAACTCGTATGAAGTGGATATCGAAATCGTGTCAAGATTGGATGGAAAATCTTACACATTACGCAATGTGAGAACAGTCCCCAAGTTGGATCTGCCAAGTCAGTCACTAACAACAGAAACCCTGAAACGATTCTCGCACATTGAAGGAACCCCTATCCTCGCTTATCAAAATGTTGTCCCAACTATTCTCGTTGGAATGGACAACTTCGAGCTGCATCTGCCTAAAGATTGGAAGAGTTGGAGAGCCAGCAGCAATTCGCACAGCAATGGGATGGGCATTAGTGGGGCCGACCGCCTCACCCCCAAGGAAATCGCATCATGCATTTCATATCAATGATCGACCTGATGACCCACTACATCAATTAGTCAACCAATTCTTCACTACTGAATATGTAGGTGTCAAGCCAAATCTAGAGAAGCCAAGGTCAAGAGATGACATTAAAGCCCAAGTCATTATGGATCCGACAATACGACGAGTTTCGCACGGATGGGAGAGCGGACTGCTCTGGAGAGATGAAGATGTGAAACTTCCCTGCAACAAGAATTACGCATTTCAACGCCTGAAGTCCATGGAGAAGAAGATGGACCAAGACCCTGAATTTGCACGCCAGTACGTAGAACGAATTCAAGAGTACCAAGAGAAAGGATTCGCCAAAATCCTGCCGCCAGAAAAAGCCGCAATCGAAACAAGCCGCACTTTCTACCTGCCGCATTTTATGGCCTACAACGCCAAGAAACCCAAGAAGTACCGCTTCGTTTTCGACGCCGCCGCCAAAGTATATGGGAGAAGCCTCAACGATCACCTCCTGCAAGGACCAGACAAATTGGTGTCCTTACCCGGCGCTCTGCTCAAGTTTCGCCAAAGGAGAATTGGGGTCACAGGGGACATTAAGGACATGTTCCACAGAATAAAGATCCGGGAGGAAGACGCTTGTGCTCAACGCTTTCTCTGGAGAGGAATGGATCGCGACAGAGATCCCGACGTGATGAAAATGGGCGTCCTGATTTTCGGAGCATCCTGCTCACCAGCCTGCGCCCAAGAAGCCAAAAATAAGAATGCCGAGCAATTCAAAGAAGAATTCCCCGACGCCTACAAAGCAATAGTTCATCGCCACTATATGGACGACCTATTGGATAGCTACGACACGGAAGCCCAAGCAATTCAAATGCAAAAGGACATCTTTGAGGTCCACCGCCGAGGGTCATTCCATATCTGCAATTGGCTATCGAATAACCCAGAAGTCATGAATGCAATCCCTGCAGAACTTCAGTCAAAGACAAGTGAGAGTCTCGACATCAATAAGGAGGACCAGATTGAGAGAGTTTTAGGACTCTTCTGGATGCCGGAGGAGGACAACTTCACCTTCTGCCTGAAGTACCTCAAAGTCAGTGAAGAGGTCATGAAAGGAAGACGCATTCCCACCAAGAGAGAAATACTTTCACTCGTTATGTCGGTATTCGACCCACTCGGATTCTTATCCACACTGACAATCAAAGCCAAGATGATTTTGCAAAGAACTTGGATATCAGAGATAGGATGGGACGACGAGATTCCATCGTCTACTCATCAAGCGTGGAAACTGTGGCTCACACTATTGGAAAGTATCACAGAGTTCAAGGTACCGAGATGTTACTGCCCTACTTTCTCTCGGTCGACAGATAACCAGCTCCACATCTTCGGAGACGGAAGCGAAGAAGCGTTTGGAGTCGTAGCTTACTTTCGGATCGCACACGGTAGCCAAGTAACTACAGCCCTGGTCATGGCGAAAGCAAATGTCGCCCCAATTAAGCACCTCACAATCCCACGTATGGAACTGCAAGCCGCCGTAATAGCAGCACGCCTAGCCAAATTTATTCAAGATCATCATGATGTCGACATCCACAAAACGGTATTCTGGAGTGACAGTCAAACGGTACTGAATTGGATCAGAGCGGACGGAAAACGCTATCAACAATTTGTTGCAAGTCGCATTGGAGAAATCCATGAGCTCACAGACGCTTCGCAATGGAGGTGGATTTCCACAAAAGAAAACCCAGCCGACGAGTTGACAAGGATGAGTAGCCATTGCGATTGGACATCACAAAGCAGATGGATAAATGGTCCAGAATTCCTGAAATTAGAAGAGAATCTTTGGCCTACACAGAAGCGCACCAGCAAGAATGAGATGACAGCAGAAGCAGAATTAGAATTGAAAAAGGAGCAAATTCTACGAATAGAAGAGAAGAGAAAGTGCAGCCTTGACGCATCAAACATCTCATCGTGGACACGACTGATCAGAGTCACAGCGTACATCTTGAGATTCATCGCCAAGATTCGCAAAGTACCTTCACGAACGGGAGCGCTATTTCCCTCAGAATTACGTGGAGCACAAATGTATTGGAATCGAGTGGCGCAAATGGAATCATTTCCCGACGAAGTAGCAGCACTGAAAAATGGAACCAGTCTGCCAAGCAAGAATATGCTGACAGGATTAAGCGTAAAGTTGGATGACGGATTATTACGTATAGCAGGAAGACTAGAAAATGCAAATCTACCGTTCCGCCAGAGACGACCGATCATCCTCAGCCGTCATCATCCCTATGTCAAGCTATTGGTGCAGTATTTTCATGAAATATGCGGCCACCACGGTCAAGAAAGAATTTGTAACGAGATTCGACAACAATATCACGTTATTGGACTCCGAACTGCAGTCAGAGCTGCCCAAAGCCGATGCCAAAGTTGCAAGAATAGAAGAGCAGTACCAATCCCACCAGAAATGGGACAACTTCCCAAGTTTCGCGTCGAGAACCCCGGGTATCCATTCAACATGACAGGTTTGGACTACTTCGGGCCTATTCAAGTCACAGTCAAGAGAAGTACAGAGAAACGCTACGTCGCCCTGTTGTGCTTGTGCTTGCTTGCTTGTGTAGCAAAAAGTCAAGACAAAGTCGTATGTAAACTCGGGCCACTATTTTAGCCAGTGAATGTAAATGTAAGAGATGATGTGTTATCAAGAAAGAGGAGTTTAGTCAGGGAAAAGAACAAAGAAATCCAGACCCGATCGACCCGAGGAGGAGGAAACTTACCTTCAAACTAACAGCTAGCTTTTAAATATTTCTCGATATTTTTAAACAACTAAGGTCTCAATTTTAATGTCGATATAAGTCAATCTATAAGTAATCGCCCTATGTAAAATAAAGCTCCGTTTTGAGTTTGTAAGCCCAAATTTAAGTAGTTTTCGCGTATCATTTCGCACGAGTGCATTTACGCCTACTTCGGACTCGGCATAATAAGACGGAGCCACCCCCATCGCCATCATAAAGTTCCTGAGGTCAAACTGAGATATCGCCCCAATGAGCAGACAGCTCACGCCCCCAAACCACATGGTTTCATTTCAACTTTTATTCACGTGTAAATGGATATCAGTTAACAATAACTGGTTTGCAAACCATGACACAAAATGCTATAACTATATAAAAAAGCATATTAATATCTAACTACATTGTTCTAACACTTACTTCATAAATAATAGTAATAGTCCTCAGCACGCTTATTAATTATATGTTCACGACATGATTGTACAAATTTAACATAACTCATGTTGGGGTCCCAATCCCTAGGTAGTTTGTTCCAAAGTTTAACTGCTCGATAATGTATCGATTTTTGTGCAAACGTATAAGATGGGACGGTCAATAAGGGCCAAGTACGCCTCCCTGAAGACGAACTAATAGAGTGCAGAAGTTTTTTAAACGCATATTTGTACAAAAATAAGTCACGACGTTCTTTAATTGACAGTAGATTGAACTGCGTTAATAAATCATTCACATTAATTGATTGCTTATTTATCTTAAACCGCGTGTTTTTCCGGTATCGATACTTTTTTGCTAGAGAAGGATAAAGGAATTTCACTAAAAACGAGTTCACTTTATGTTGAACTGCGTCTAATTGAGCGTCAGAATGGATTGCCCAGATGTCAAGACAAAAATCCATGACTGAATGTATATGGCTGTTAACCATTATTGCTAATACCTTATTAGTGAGGTGACGTTTAACGCTGTGTAAGTACCCGAGCTTATTAGATACCTTCTTTGTTACACGTTCGTATTGATCACTAAAACTCAGACTGGAATCTATGTACACACCTAGGTACTTGAAAACACTTACATTCTCAATCGATTCGCCATTACTTAACACTATGGGTTTACAGAAAGAAGAAGGTACATTACATCGCGGCTTACTAAAGATTTGAAATTTGGTTTTCGAATAGTTAACACTTAGGTTATTCATACTATACCACTCTTGAACAATATTTGCTTGCTCAGTCATTGCTTTCATTAATAATTCAAGGTCATTACCAGCTAAGTATATAACTAAGTCATCTACATACAAAAGGAACGGGATTGTTATAACTTTACAGATGTCATTCTGGTACGCAGAATAATACAAACCGCTCCCGGCCGCTCCTTGGACCACACCCGTGGGATTATCATAATATTTATGACCTACTTTAAATTTGAACACTCTTTGATTCATATAGTTATATAACAGACTGATATAATTCGGGTGTACATTAAATTGTTGCATTAGCTTATTGATAAGCATAGATCTATCGAGGCTATCGAACGCAGAGCGCGCATCATAGTAAATAGCAACACAATACCCATTCTTTTTATCGAGTGCGGAATAAACATAATTCGTGAAGTCGGAAAGTGCAGTTTGACACGAGCGCTTTATTCTACAGCCATGCTGTTGATTACATAATTTGGCGTCGATCCTGTCACATAATCGTGTATACAGTAATCGCTCGAAAATCTTGCAATACACATTTATCATGGAGATTGGGCGATAACTGGAAGGATCCAATTTCTTCCCCTTCCCCTTGTAAATGGGAACAACAACTGTTGAGCGGAACGATTGTGGCACTATACAAAAATTAAGTAGCATATTAAAAAATATTGTTAATTGTAACGCAACCGTGTCTTTACAACGTTTGATAATTTTAAGTGGTACATATAAATCTGAAGGGCTATCTTTAGCATTCTCTGTGATAGCTTTCTCAACCTCCTCAAAGCTAACTGTGGGGAACTTTTCACTTGTATCTGAAAAATATGTTAACATATTTTCCTGTAGGATGTTTTCAGGTATCATTCTGTCCGACTTGATAACAAACTGATTGGCTAACACTTGATTAATATCATCCCGCGAAGTTACTGCCACCCCTTTCACAGGGTCAATAAGTTTACAAATATTTTCGCGTTGTTTGCTACGAAACCCCGTTAATTGATTTACATGGTTCCATAACGAGACCGTATCCTTTTCACTTTGCTCTAGTTTCACAGAAAAATACTTTTTTTTTGCATTATTAATACTTGTGTTATAAAGATTACGTGCACATCTATACTTACTAATATCCGAGCTTATTTGAGACGCGTCAGCAATACGACATAAACAGTCTCTATTTTTCCTCATAATAACATGATCAGAAGTATACCACGGGTTCCATTTAGATTTGACATAACGGGACTTTAGAGGTACATACTTGTCTAGTAAAGTTAAAAAATACAAATTATAACGATTAAATTCATTGTCAACATCACTAAAATAATCAAAACTAAACTCTCGTAATTCCTTATTAAGAGCTTCGAAGTCAAAATTTTTATAACATCTATAATTAATTTTAATTGGTAGAAATTTGGGCTTATTTGATTTGCGGACTACAAATACTAAGTCATGGTCAGAACTAGTATGTGCTAAGTGTCCATTCACTAAAAAGTTATCTTTTCTACTTACATACACGTGATCTAGTAGAGAACGCCCTTTAAATGTAGGTCCTTTCATGAGTTGGGACAAATTAAATTCTCTTGCTGCATTACTAATTAAAAAAGAATCGTTGTTCCGTTTAAGTAAATCCAAATTGAAATCTCCAAGAATAACGTAGTCTCTCGTCTGCGAGAGGAGGAAACAATTAATTTCATGAAAATAAGGGACCAATTTCGTGGCCGGAACATCCGGATGACTATAAAGTGGTAATGATGAGAAATTTATCATTACATAGATTTACTTTTATGAACAAATGTTGGGATTTAGTATTACATTTCACTGGGCAGTCAATGATTTCATATTTAAAACAATTTTTAATATAAACTACAATCCCTCCGCCTCTAAGTTTGCCGTCTGTGCCGTAATACTGTTCATAATTCCCTCCATCGCTAAGTGCAATTCGTCAGTGGCATTCTTGTTGTAATCCGAATCCCCCAATTTGATGTGGGTATAGGCCTGATAGTAATTCGCATTAACGGCAAAATGACTGTCGCTTGATATAGTTTTTGAGAAATATCCTTACGCAGACTTTGGTGAGGAGTTGTCCCCCTTCTTCATGTTTTCCGCTCCCAGCAACAAATTGGTTTTGGGATTGGCAATGTCGTCCTTATAATTTGTGCCTTTGTCGTCCACCGCTTTTTCGAGAGAGGCCATTTTGTCGTCAAACTCTTTTTGAAGGACATCTTGCCCAGGGTCGCCTTCTTCTAAAGGCTTCGCCTTATCCAGCGCGATCCCCCACAGCTCATCGAGCCAGAGGAGGGCGTACTTCTTATCAAAGTCGTCTCCCGCGTCGGCAAGTTTTTTGCGAATGGTGCAATACTTTTGAAAATGTCCGTCTTCCCGGGTGATCATTGGAAGCAAGTTTTTCTGCACGTGCTTCAGCGTCGATTCTTCCACCTTATCGCGGAATTCGGTCAAGATTCCGTGCCCTTTACTTATCCAGTCAGCTGAGACGCGATCAATGTCGTGATTCTCGGCTAAAACGATCAGCTGACTCGAACCTGGTTGTCCTTTTCTGGCAGCGCGGCCAGTTGCTTGTTCCTCGACGCGGACATTGCCCGGGAAAAAGGTGAGGATTACGTGTAGGCCGCCATTCTTGGACAGTTTGTCGTCAATTTGAAAATCCGTTCCACGTCCAGCCAACATCGTCGCGATAACGATGGAGCCTCCTTTTAACTGATTTTCGGGCACTTTGGTCTCCTCAGTTTGGTCTAATCGGGTATACTTTTGGATGTCGAATTGTTCCCCGGTGTCCCTTGCTGTGGTTTCGATCTCCTTCTTGAAGTGATCGGCTTCCTCGATGGTTTTGCAAATGAGTAGGACCGCCCGTTGGAGACGGACGTTGGTCACGACGGATGTGACGACTGCTTCAATCCATTCATCACTCGTTTCCAGGGTCATGTTCTTCAAGAGGGTGTGTCTTTTAGCTTGAAACGTTGGAACGTTTACGGTCCCGACTTGGTACGTTTTTGACAATAACTCCTTTTCCTTATCGGATCCAAGCGTTCCCGTGAGGCCGAAGACATTTTTCCCGTATCTCTTAAAGTAGGAAACGTTACTGAGGAAGTTTGTCGTAATTTGTTCCGGTGTCGTGGCGAGGAGATGCTTAATTTGGAGGAATTGATGCACGCCATCCGGCCAGACGGAGGATTCTTCCAAAATCCCGGTGTTCTGAGAGTCCACCGGCACGATTCGGGTGTGCTTATCACCATCCAGCACTTTAAGGACGTAGTCCCGATTCTCATGGATGTAAGTTCGCGCCGCGATGGCGGACGTAATCCAACGCTGCAGTTTGAAGTTGTATAAGGGTTTGAAATGTTGCGGTAGAATCACCTTTTGACTGTCTCTGTCCACGTTTTTGTCATCGCTGAACACGTCGACGGCCTTAATTTGTTCGGTGATCCGATTAAATAAAAATGACCCCGCCTTATCTCCACTAGCTTCGAGGAGTTGGACCAGGTTGCCGTCCGATTCAAAGATGGGGAGAAGTTTGAACTGATCCGGGATATCTTTTGGTTCCTGGGCAGGGTGATAGATGGGGCTTAGGACGACTCGAGGAATCCCGGTTTCTTTGTCGAAGCGATAAATTTGAATTTTTCTACCAAGAAATTTCCCACAAATGTAGACCAATGACGTCTTCAGTTCGGTGTTCCATCT